CTCCTTCTCCTTCTTCTTCTTTTTGAGTCACATCTCACTATATATCCCAGGCTGGCCTTGAAGTCTCCACCTCAGCCTTCCAAGTGCGAGGGTACAGCTATGTACCTCCATGCTGGGCTGTTCCTGGGAAACATGAAGGTCTCCCTCAGCTTCCTGGGCTAGGTGCTCCCCGCCCAGTCCTCCCCTCCCCCATTGGGCTGGTTGGCCTTTGTCCCCATCCCCACAGCCTGGCTGATGACTACCAGCCATGCCCATGGCTCCATGTCCCCCGTGCCTTCTCGCCTTAGAGGCCTCCTTTGCATTAGAGCCACGTTCCTTGGCATCCCTGCCAATCCTGCTGCCTCAGCCACATCTGTCCCCACGGTGCCCTCTCCCTGGGCAAGCAGGCTTGGAGAGGCATCACTTCCCTGACCCTAGCAGACTGTGTCCGCTTCTCACAGTGGCCCAGAACCCTGCCCTCTCCCTGCCCACCTCCCCTTGATCCTATTTCTTGGGTGCCAGAATGGTGCCCACTATCCCCAATGCACTGGCCTCAGGGGCTGGACATCCAGCTTCCCTGTTTCTCCTCCCTGCCCAGCAGCCAGGAGCAGGCCACAGCCTCCCCAACAGAGACAAGGCAGGGTGCAGAGAGGATGAAACCAGATTCTGGGGTGCAGCAGGGGTCTCACCCAGCCCCTCCCAGTGGACACCTCTAACCCTTGCTGACTGCCCCACGTCTTGCCCACCTAGGCCCACAAGCATCCTTCACAGGGAAGAAGAGCACAGCCTGTCCCATGGCCAGTGGGTGCAGGAATCCAGGGAGGACACTTTCCTGCCCTGAAGCCTCTGTCCCCTGCGACACTTAGAAAAGGAGGAGAAGAAAACAGCAAGGGTTGGGTGTGGGGCCTTCATTCCAATCCCAACCAGACTCAAACCCCCCCAGGATCAGGTCAACCCCAAAACTATACTACCCAAGGTCTGGCCACCCTATGAGAGGCTGGCAGGGTGCCTTGGCAGCCACAAGAGCAGGTCTGGACCCCAGGACTCTAATAGCATTGCCTCCCACAGGACAAAGACAATTCTGGTGCCACAGTCCTGCACCTGGCTGCTCGCTTTGGCCACCCCGAGGTGGTGAACTGGCTGCTGCATCATGCCGATGCGGATCCCACCGTAACCACAGACACAGGCGCACTGCCTCTCCACTACGCCGCCGCCAAAGGAGACTTCCCCTCCCTGAGGCTACTCATCGCAGACTACCCAAAGTAAGGACCCACCTTGTGCAAGCGTGCATGCGTGTGGTGCTGGGGCTGGAACCCAGAGCCTTGCATATACAAAGCAAATACAGTGTCACTGAGCTAGGCTCCCAGGCCAGGACTTCCTTTTGTTTGTTGTTTTTTTGAGACAGGCATCCTGTAGTTCAAGCTGGCCTTAAACTCTCTGGGACCCTCCTGCCTTAGCTTCCCAAATGCTGGGAAGCATTACGGACGTGTGCCACCATGCCCAGTGTGCCAGACTATTCTAAATTCAGTGACCAGGTCATAGCTCTGTAGTCAAGCAGGAGAGCAGAGCCATGGCAGTCATCAGAGTCAAGGGAGAGTTGCCCCTCCTGCCCGCCCTCACCCCAGACCTAAGCTGGCAAGCAGGACACCAGAGAGCAGCTTTCCTTTCTGGGGTCCCTCGCTAGGGGATGAGATTCTTTGGGCTCCTGGGCTGAGTGGCTGGGCTGGGAGCTCCCAGGGTGGGGGCTGCATGGAGGAAAGGGGCTCCCTGAAGAGTAGGGAAGGGAGGGGCAAGTAAGGTCTTGGTGCACCTGGGGCCAGGAATCCTGGGGAGGCCACCCCGCCCCTGTCTGAGGGACCCCAGTGGGCAGGGCTCCAACCAGAGATGCTTGTGAATCTGAGTTGCTGCCTGGATCTTGAGCCACAAAGGTGAAGCAGGCTGGGAGAGACCTGCTGTCAGGTGAGAGGGCCCAGTACCAGGGCAAAAGCTGGGGTGAGAGGGCCCAGTACCAGGTGCAGGCTGGGAGAGACCCAATGCCAGGTGAGAAGGCCCAGCACCAAGGCACAGGCTGGAGGCCAGGGTAGCCATATGCTGGCATGGCCCCAAGACCTGCCAGGCTGGGCTCCTGCAATCTTCCTTGTCCAGGGCAGGTGGGGCCTGGCTCCGGCTTCCTAGGCAAGGGCTGGCAGGAGGCCCCAGGCCATCAGTGCCCCACCCTCCTGGGAAGGGCTCTTCTCACAGACTCCCCCATCCCTGGGGCAGTGAGGGACAATGACATAGGTGTGGCTTTTCTCCTAGGACAAGCTCTGGTCAGGCCAGTGTCTGGGCTTAGAGGAGGAGCCCCAGAGACACTGAGCTCAGGGTCCAGCCCAGAGCTTTGAGAGCCAGGCCACAGCCCCGAGGCCTGTGACAGCCTCCACAGGGACCTGGCAGCTGCATCCAAGCTGTGTCCTCATCCCCAGTGGGCTCTGTCCCAGCCCCTCACTTCAAGACCAAAATACCAAGGTCCTAAGCAGGGAGGGTCACCCTGCACTCTGGGTGCCCCCACAGCACCTAGCTGGCCTAGAGGGTCAGGCTGTGGGTGCAAAGCCCAGCATGCACACTGTGGGCCCTCTCCCCCAGGGGCTGGCCTAGGCTGCGCCTAGACAACACTCTGGCCAGGCGATGAGACACCGTCGTGGGCTGCAGCCTCCCAGGCCTGGGCATGATTGGGCCCAGTGCCCGGCCCAGGCCAGATGCCCTGGTGGATGTGTGGCCAGTCCCAGGGGCAGCCAGGACTTTAGGGATGTAGACAGTGGGCCAGGGCTCCATGCCCTGCAGTGGCGGCGGCGGCAGCAGCTGTGAGCTGCTGATAAGAACACACTTTTGTGTGCCTGCCAGGCTGGGCTCCAGGAGAAGAGGGCGGCTGGGCCCTGGGGTTGAGGGCCGGTATGACCGCTTAGCATCCTGCCTTGGGGGGGGTGTGAGGGCTGCTGTTCCCCAAGGCTGTGGCTCCCAGGGGTGGGAATGGTGAGGAAAGAGGCCTGCTCTGCTCTTCTGGGCCTCCGGGCCTGCTGCAAAGCTCTGAATTATTCACAAGGGCTCAGCTCTGCCTGGGCCAGTGAGGGAGGAAGGGTGCCCGTACCTCCCGGTGGGAAACTCGATCCCACCCAGGGAGGCTGCGCACAGCTGTGGCCATAGTGGTGACCAGGTGCGGGGGCCACTGGAGGCTGGACAGCCCTGGGAGAGGCCAGCCAGGGCCAGGCTGTGCCTGGGGCGTTAGCCTGGGCTGCACAGTGTAGGACATTTTGCTCCTTCCCTCCGCCAGTCTGTCCTGGTGCATTGGGCCGAATCTTCCCAGGAGCTGAGGGCTGGCCACAGTGACCCTGGAGGCTGCTGCCCTCGGAGGGCCCTCCCTCAGAGCCCCCTGCAGAAAGGGGTCCCTAGCCTGGGAGGCACAGGGCATGATCCTCCTGGTCCTCCTGCCTCTGCTGTGTCAGCCACTGGCTGTTCTGGGGTCTGAGCAGCTGGGACCCCAGGCTCAGCTCAGACTGAGGCTTGGCCCTCAGGGCTAGGGACAGCAGGGAAGCCTGGGCTCTTTCCTAGGATTCCTGGACTCTGCCACTCATACACCTGGACAGGGTGTGGGACAAGCCCACCAGGAGACAGGTTAGGCTCCAAAGAGTGCCTCCCTGCTGAGTGTCTACGGGGGACCTGGCCACAGGCAGCAGGGCCTGGGCCTCAGTGTCACCCTAGCAGCAGCTCTGCAGCCAGCCCCTTGTGCAGGTCGCCTGGCCCTGTGAGCATCCTCCCTGTGTGCAGTCTACATGCAGGGCAGACATCTCTGGCTCACTGCTGACGACACCTGCACAGCGGCACCAAGGGCTGCAGGCCAGCTGCAGGCCCCCGGGCTTGCTGCGCGGCCTTGTGCACCTGCAGGGGTCTTCCTTTTCTCCTTTGTTTGTCCATAGCTTCTGTTGCTTGGCTGAGCCCAAGACAGGTGGTGCCCCTGTGGGCCGATCGGGGGCGCTTCTCACTCTCAGGGACCCACAGGGCTGAGGCTCCATGGGGCAGGGCCGCCCCTGCCTGCTGGGCACCTGTGCTGTCAGGCAGCCTGGCTCATGCATTCTTTGTCAACCCCCTGGCCTGGCCCTGCTTTGCAAAGGTCTGCAGGACAGCAGGACCTGGGGTGGGGCTTGTGCAGGGCCGCGGTAGGATGCCAGTGGCTGTACTTGTCCTAACTCCAGGGGAGGCTCTGGGGAAGGGAGGGCTGAGGCAAGATCACAGCTGGGCTACATAGTAAGTTCAAGGCCTGCCTGAGCTATAAAGCAAGATCCTGCCTCAAAAAGCATATCATGGGGCCGGGGAGATGGCTCAGTGGAATAAGCACTTCCCTGGCAAGCGCAAGGGCCTGAGTTCAATCCCCGGTTCCGAAAAAAAAAAAAAAAAAAAGCACATCATGAGGTCTGGCCAAATAGCTCAGCAGATTTAAGTGCCTGTAAGCAGGCTTATGGGCCTGGGGTTTGATCCCCAGGACTGCCATGCCGGCCCCACCCTCAGGGCATACTGAGATGGCAATTGAGACTGGGCACTGTGATATGCACCTGTAGTCCCAGCTCTTGGGAGGCTATAAACTGGAGAATCACTACAAGTCCAATCTAGTAGTGAGACCCTATAGACCCTTCCATAAAATACAAAAAAGAAAAAAAAAAAGCCCATCATGAGCATCACTGTCATGGATACTGTCCTGCTCAAGTAGCTCCAGGCTGCCTCTGTTTCAGGTCTTCTGCCCTCTCAGCTCCCTTCCCCGCTCCTGCTGGGCTCATGCCACCCCCCTCTGCCTCCATCGAAGCCCAGGCTGCCCCTGCCCTCCTCCCAGTCTGCAGGGGTCACACCTTCTCAGCATGGTCGGTCGGCAGCTGAACAAGCTGTAACCCAGTCCACATGCTTGCCCCCTCTGCCTCCCGTCCCTGTTGCCCTTATTTATCATCCGCTGCCAGTGCATTCCTGGGGCTCTGTGTGTTTCTCGCTGTGACCCGACTCTTGAGCACAGAACCTTTACCTTCCCACTGTGTCCTGGTCCTGTCACCACATGGACAGTGGCTGAATGAGTGAAGAACAAGCCTGGGAGATAACTCAGTGGCATAAGCACCTGCCTGGCAAGAGAAAGGTCCTGAGTTGGATCCCCAGTACCAAAAAAAAAAAAAAAAAGAGTGAAGAGTCCGGAGCTCTGGGCCCTTTCTGATTTGGCTCACAGCTCACTGCATGTGACATTAGATGAAAACCCCTCTCTGGGCCTCCCTGTGCCCACAGCAGGCTGCATCTTCAAGTCCCCCTTACTTGGGAACAGCTTGGGGGGGGTCTCACAGTGTCAGACGAGGAGGCAGGCTGAGCCCACTCTCCGCTCGGATGCACCTCCTCCCTGGTCACCTGTGTCCCTGCCAGCCGACTGCCCCAGGGGACAGAGCTGCTGCCACCCACTCAGCAGCCTCTGATGTGCGTCCAGCGAACACTGAGTCCGGGGCCCACGACAGTTCCGGAGGGACAGCGAGCCCTGGGAAGCCTCTCTCTCCAAGGGGTCAGCAGAAACCTCTCTGAGGAGCTGAGAGTGGGTGTTCTAGAACCTTCCTCACAACAGCAGTGTTTTCCTTGCTCTAAACCTCGCTAGGGATCCGGAAAGATAAGAGGGGTTCAGAGCAGCCCTCCGGCCAGCCCCTGGGGGGTAGAAGTGCATCAGGCCAGCCCCGGAAACGTTGCTCTTTGCCCGAGTCTGATCTGGGGGTAGAAGGGTCACTCCTCGTTACTTGTTGCTCCTTGTTACTTGGAGCAGCAAGTGTGAACGGCCAGCTGGCACAAATGTGGACGGAGTTCTCCAACGCCCCCTCCCGCATTCCATGCTCTTCTTGTACAATCAGGGAGATTTGCTTCTTCCTTACAGTTAGTCCATATAACCTTTCTCCCGAGAGGAGGAAGAAAAGCATGGGATTTTTAAGATCACTACCAGGGTCTTCATTGTTTCCCTTGTCGAGGGTTATTTGGGATCCCAATTTGTTAGGCCAGGTTCTGCCTGGTCCATATTCTGCTGGCTCCGAGACTGGGCTCCACCGGCAGAGGGGCCTGCCTGAAGGAAAGGCTTCTGACACGGTGGGCTGAACGCAAAGAGTGGGGAGGAGCCGAGCCAGGCCACGCCCTCGACCACGCCCCCTCAGACTAGGCCCCGCCTCTTAATAGCCGTCAGCTGTGGCTAACCAAGGTCCAATCACTTTCCAAAACCCTGCCTAGCCAGGAAGCTAGCTCATTAGAATAAGTGCTGGGGGGGGGGGGGCTGGTGAGTTGGCTCAGTGGTCTAAAGCACCTACTTAGAACAAATTTAGCAAAGCACAGGGACCGCGGTTCAATCCCCCAGCACCACATGCCAGCCAGAGCTGGCCACACACACAAAATAAATAAATAAATTAAAAAAAAAACAAAACAATATTCAAAAAAAAAAAAAAAAAAAAAAGAATAAGTGCTTGCCTGCGGAGGGAGGCCGCCTGTTAGCTCAGTTGTTTAAGTGCCTGCTCACGTAAGCGCAGTCAGGTGCTGTTTAATCCCCACCTCCACCTGCTATCCCAGCTCTTGGGAGGCTGTAATCAGGGGGATCATGACGAGTCCAATCTAGTAGGGAGACCCTAAACACCCTGTAAACCCTTCCAAAAAAAGAAAACCCTGCCTCTATCTAAAGCACTCTGCGGGGCCTTGCAGAGTGAGTTGGAGGGTGGCGGGGAGCCGAGGCTGTGGCAGGGCAGGAACGTGGTCCTGCGGTGGCTGCAGTGGTCAGGACAGGAACTTGATGGGCTGCAGGCCCAGAGGTGGCCCAGAAGGCAGCGACTCCTGGCAGAAATGGTGCCTGGAAGAGGCTGGACACCCAGGCCAGCAGTGGGCACCTCGTGGCTGGCCCTTTCGGGCATAAGGAAGAGAATGGGCTGGGCCCACCTACCACACGGGCTTAGGAAGGAAGGGACAAGAAGGGGAATCAGGGCACCACCATTGCCTGAGCATGGGACACAGCCCAGAGCCAGGCTTCCTGTGGTTTGGTGGTGGGCAGGAGACTGACGGACAGCTGCAGGGTGTGAACAGCAGACTGGGCTCACATGTGCCCCTGCCAGCTCACATCAAGTGATCTCAGCCCCCCGTGCCTCAGTCTCCTTGTCTGTAAAAGTGGAGCCAGACCACTGCCCACCATGCAAGGCCCTCACCAGAGTCAGAGGAGACAACGTGGGCAGCGTGCACATCGAGGTGCTGGCAAAGAGAAATCTCTTTTTATTGGCACTGTCATTCACTCATCTCTCTAGGGACTTTCTCTTTGACCTCATTCTTGCCCCATTCCTGTCCTGTTCCCCAGTGGGTGGGGAAGGAGCTCTCAGGCCACACCAGAGAAGGCCAAGGCTGGCTGCTCCCTTCACAGGTAACAGCAAATCTGCTGTGTCCTTGGGCTTTCCAGGCAGGAGGCTCAAGTCTTGAATAGGGAACAGGAGTGCAGAGGTGGGAATGCAACCGGGGGGACAGGCAGGGACCTTTGCTGAGGCCTGGGACCTGGAGCGGCAGCTGGCAGGTGTGGACACCACTGCCCCTGCTGTCCGGGTCCTTCTCCCACTGGCTGTGCACCCCTGCCTGATGGATGGCTGCCTACCAAACAGGCGTGCTGCCGGCAGGGATGCATGCACATCTGGTCCCTACTAAATGCACTGCCTCGGGCCCCTCAGAAAGACCCCTGCGGACCCTGGGATGACCCCCTGCAGCCTCTGATCCCTAGGACCCTGGCACCCTCCGTGCCTTGGTGAAGGGGTGAATAATTCAGGCTACCGAGTGTAGGTCATGAAATATTCATCAACCGTTTCTAACTGCAGCAGGAGTGAGTGTGGGGGCGATACCACCCCAGGCCAGCGTGGATCAGAGGATCGACAGGTGGCTGGGTCTGTGCTCCACTGGCGAGGAGTGTGGGGAGCTGAGGGACAGGCAGGCGCAGCCCCTGCCCCCAAAATGTACTGAGAGTGCAGCTCAGGGGGCTTTGGCTAGGCCCAGAGAGCCACGGACTCCAGGGGCAGGAAGCGCATGGAGTGCCAAGGCTTTGGGGACAGGCCGAGGTCTTCCGTGGCTGCTGTGAGGGGGAGGAGGTTGGCGTGTTGATGCGATTGGGGGTGAGGAGTGGCAGTTAGGGAAGAATGGTCTGGTGGGTGGGGGTCACACCTGTGCCTGACAGGGCACATGGACAGATGCAGGGAGGATATGAAGAACTGAGGACCCAGGACCTAGAACCCACCAGCTCAGTGTTCACCTCAAATTTATTTATTTATTTATTTATTTATTTATTTATTTGTTTGTTTGTTTATTTAGCAAAACAGGGGACTGACCTCAGGGCCTTGCGCTTGCCAGGCAAGCACTTATTCTACTGAGCTATCTCCCTAGCCCCTCACGACGACCTTAGATCCCACGACCAAGCAATTCCTGGGTTGGGGTTGGGTGTGGCCGACTGTGGTAACTACACTCTGGGGGCCCGTTTCCCTCAGCCTGCCTACCACAGTCCAGGACAAGGGACAGCAAGAATGGAAAGCTGAGTCCCAGCTGCCCCTCCCACTCCTTCATGCCTACTGCATCCCTGGTCCTGGTCCCCCAGGGGTGCAATTCTTAGGTCATCTACCAGCGGCAGACCTGTGGCCACACCTGGCCACCCTTGCCCATCTGAAAAAATGAGACAGACTGCGGGCTTTAAGAGAATGCCCAGGGCCTGGGCTGCAACTCTGCACAGTGCCTGCCCAGATGTGAAAAGCCCCAGGTTCAAATCTCAGCACCCTACTCCAAAGCAGTACTGGCCTGCCAGCCCAAAGGATACAAACCTGTAATCTTAGCTGCTCGGGAGGCTAGGCGAGAGGACTCCAATTTGGACGCCAGCCTGGGTAACTTGGAGAGACCTTGTCTCAAAATATAATAGGGGCTAGGGATGTAGCACTGCTGGATTCAACCCCAAGATACAAACAGAACGAACAAACAAACACACACACACCCTGCTGGTACACCCTGGAAGTTCTTCGTATAAAGTGGCCATTCCATACTGTTGCTCCACTAGTGACAATGGCAGGAGCCAGGATGTCCAGTGAACTGAATCTCAGATATGTCATATGTTAGTATAAATGCGTCCCCTGCAGTGTCAGAGATGCTAACACATGACTTGCTATTTAGCTGAGGCTGAGGAGTCCCTAGGCACCCTGGAGTTTCTGTGGTAACCCTGTGGTTTCTGTGTAACCCTGCCACCTCTGCTACTCAGAGGCCCAGCCTCTGATGACCAAGCATGAAGGAGGAGGGGCCCTGGGGCTGGCCTGGGGAGGGGTGCAGGTGGGCAAGACCTGCACTGGCCAAGAAGCCAAGGGAGGACTCATGAAGGAGGGATCTGCCCTGAGTCTGAGAGAGGAGGGCTCACCATGCACTGCAGGTGGAGGGACACGAGCAAGAGCACAAGGGACAGACAGCGAGTTGAGGACGCATGGTGACTTAAGAGTGGCTTCAGAGAGAGACGAGGCCAAGTCCCAGTGGCCAAGCGGCCTCGGTAAAGGGCGGGGCTGCTTATTCCAGGCAGGAAGCACTGAGTCGGGCATTTTATATACAAAGGCCTTGGAGCCGGGTGTGCGTGTGCATACCTGAAATCTCAGCATTCTGGGAGGCTGATATAGGAGTGTCCCCAGATAGTTCCCCTGGGCAACTTGGCAAGATCTTGTTTCAAAATTAATAAAAGGGCTGGGGATGTAGCTCAGGGCGGAGCCAGAATCCAGAGGGAGTGAGGACAGGCCATAATGAGGCCCCCTCCAGCCTGCTGTCCCAGGGCCTGGTCTGGAGTCCCCGCTCCCTCGACGCAAGGAGAGCAAGGGGGCTCTGGAGGCGACAGGCGATCCGAGCCCACGCCCAAGGTGGCCCTGCGTCTCCACAGGGGAGTGAATGCCCAAACCAAGAACGGTGCCACGCCCCTGTACCTGGCGTGCCAGGAGGGCCACCTGGAGGTGACGCAGTACCTGGTGAAGGAGTGCGGCGCGGACCCGCACGCGCGCGCCCACGACGGCATGACCCCGCTGCACGCCGCGGCGCAGATGGGCCACAGCCCGGTCATCGTGTGGCTGGTGAGGAGGGGGCGGGGCCTGGGCGGGGCCTGGGCGGGGCCAAAAGCTCCTGGCGCCCAGCCCCGCCCTCCCGCCCAGGTGAGCTGCACAGACGTGAGCTTGTCGGAGCAGGACAAAGACGGCGCCACGGCCATGCACTTCGCGGCGAGCCGCGGCCACGCCAAAGTGCTCAGCTGGCTTCTGCTGCACGGCGGCGAGATCTCGGCTGACCTGTGGGGCGGGACCCCGCTGCACGACGCCGCGGAGAACGGCGAGCTGGAGGTCTGGCGGTGGGGCGTGGCCAGGGAAGTGGGGCGTGGTTAAGAAGAAAGGGGCGGGGCCTGGACAGCCAGAAAGGCGGGGCGCGGGCGTCCTCTGCTGGCGAGGTGCTCTCAACACATCTCGCCTGGGATAAGGACACAGATAAGTGTGCACACACACGCACACGCACGCACCGGCCCAGCTCGAAGCCAGCTCCTCATCAGATCCCACCCCACAGTGCTGCCAGATCCTGGTAGTGAACGGCGCGGAGCTGGACGTCCGCGACCGAGATGGGTATACAGCCGCTGACCTGTCTGACTTCAACGGCCACAGCCACTGCACCCGCTACCTGCGCACCGTGGAGAACCTGGTACGTCTGTCCAGGCGCGGCCCGATGAACCATCTCCTTTCCCGCCCCTCTCAGGCTAGTGTCATATCCTTAACCAAGGAGGAGACTGAGGCCTGGCGACACTGGGAGTTGGAGCCATTCAGCCCAGAACCACCACCCTCTGGGGAAGGAGGGACAGCAAGGGAGAAGAGGGTGAAGAGTTAGAGAAGGAGCCAGAGAGAATCAGGGCCATTCAGAGAAGACATGAGGATGGGAGGTCCAGGGGTTCGAGTTCACCTGCCCCCAGGGAGCACCTGCCCCTGAGGGAAGTGGTGCTAGTGTCCCTTTTCACAGATGGGTAAACTGAGGCTCCAGGACACCCAAGGTCACACAGCCAGGAAGTGGTGAAGCCGGCCAGCCAGGCCTGGCCAGGGCCTCCCTCTGCTGACTGCTACCCCGCATGCTCGCTCGCTTGGCCATAAATCCACCCCGGCAGCCTGTGTGACTCTTCGAAGCTTTTATGATGGTTGCACAGCTGTGAGGAGACTCTCCGGGACTCGGGCTCAGGGCTGGGTGACTGCACTCAGGACTCTGCCCCATTGGGTTGATTGCCATGAATCTTGGGCCGTGGAGGTGGGAAGAGGTGGGCCTCAGGTACCCTCAGAAGGACGCCGGCCACCAGAGGGACTTCCGCAGGATGGCTCTGGGCTATCTGCCAGCACTGAAGATGGCCCCACCCAGCAACCTGATGAATGTGCGAGCTGAGGGTCAGTGTGCAGGCGGGCTGGAGGAGAAACAACCCAAAGGCCTCCTGGCCTGGAGGTGGCGGTAGTGAGCACCCTGTCATGGGGGCAAACAAGCAGCAGCGGATGCTGAAGGGCCTTTCTGTGCCAGATGCGGGCTCCTTCCCACTGAATCTGTCTTTGCTGTCTGGCTGCAAGGGTGGCCTGCTATTGCCCCCCGACAGCCCACCAGGCTGCAGCTCTTTCCAGTGACAGCCCAGACATTGAATTCTGACAAGAGCAGGTGTCATCTGAATCCATCTTTACAGCAGTAGGAACTGTGTGCACCTTTGGCATTTACAAAGCACCAAGCCCTGGCACTTTTAAAATCTTTTTTGAAGCCAGGCTGGTGGTGCATGCCTGTCATCTCAGCACTCAGGAGGCTGAGGCAGGAGGACCACACGTTCTAGACCAGCCTATCTACAAAAGACATGACCTTTTCCCCATACACAGGGCAGGTGGTACCATGTTCCCATTTATAGGTGAAGACCCTTAAGTGGCCAAGGTCACACCACTAGCGAGTGGGGACAAGGACATGCAAAGCCACTTTCCTAGCCTGCACAGCCTGGGTCCCAACCTCTGTTGTCTGTAATCCACCAAGGTCAGGGCTGGGACCCTTGGACCTACTAGTGCTAGCCAAGGGAAGGGCACCCTCATGCCACCCCTATGCCTCCCGGGCTCCCATGGCTTATAGGGAAGGGGCAGGAGCTGGCCCCTTACCCAGCAGGCCTAGCATCGCAGTGTCAGCTCCAAGCCACCAAGGATGCTGGCCCAGAAAAGGCAAACACTCCCAAAGAGTCCCTAATTACAGGGCCAATGAGCGTGGCTGCCGAGCGGTTTCCTGGTACCAGGCCTGCCTCCCTGTCCCAGGGGACCTGTGACACTTCCCAGGCAGGGAGGGGGCACGGGGCAGGGAGGAGTAGTTCTGGGCAGGAGGCAGTGGAGCAAGCGGTCTTGCAGGCAGCAGGGACGCCATGGGCAATGTAAGCAGGGCCCCCACCTCAGCCCTGTCACCTTCAGGAGGGGACAGATGTAGTGGGTGGGAGGCTTGGCCATGTGAGCTGCAGCTGCCTATCACAGCTGAGCTGGGTCCCTGCTCCCCAGGGCCCATCAGGTAGGTGGGCTGGTGTTGGGCGCTGGAAGGTCGGAGAAGTAGACAGGGTTTCAACTAGATGCCAGGGATGAGCCTGACCCTAACTGCAGCCCCAAAGCCCCGTGCTTGTTCTGAGGAGAACCTGGAGCATGTCACTTGTCCCCTGGGTGCATCCCAGGCCCCTTCTCAGTTGTCTCCTCCCTCCAGAGTAGAAAGGGGTCAGGGCCTGTGGTCCTACTGCTGGGGGTTGGCCATGAATCTTAGCCTGAGAACCTGAGCCCCTCTCAGGATGGGGAAAGAGAGTTGGAGGGAGGGACATGGTTTCACCAGGGTCTCAGCCCAGGCTGGCCTGAGTGGGACCTCAGCCCTGCAAGCACTGCTCTGTGGGCCCAGCCCCCTTTGCGTCCCCTCTGTCCATAGAGCGTGGAGCACCGCGTGCTGTCCCGGGATCCATCCACAGAGCTAGAGGCCAAGCAGCCTGACTCGGGCATGTCCTCACCCAACACCACCATGTCTGTCCAGCGGCCGAACTTTGACCTCAGTTCGCCTACCAGCACCCTCTCGAACTACGACTCCTGCTCTTCCAGCCACTCTAGCCTCAAGGGCCAGCACCCTCTGTGTGGTGAGTGGGCCGGGAGGGAAGAGGGGGGAAGCGCAGAATGGAGCCGACCACCAGACAGCCATGCCAGCAGCCAGCAGCCAGCACCCTAAACCTGGGGAAAGGACGCTGTACATGTATGTGCTCACCCCACACCTACATGGACCCGCATGTGTATGCTTTCTCCACAAAATCCATGTGCACCCTGCACATGGCTCACTGTTGTCAGCTACTCACACCTAGATGTGCACACTGGCACAGACTCACAGCCAGGGTGCAGAAAGGATGCTTAGACACACACCCAGGCAGGTGCAGCCATATGTACACACCCACATGACACACCAGCCCACAACCCTATTTCCACACTAGAACACACACACACACACACACACACACACACACACACACACACCCCATGTCTACAGACTAACTCATGCAAATTCGTGGGGCAAAGAATCGCGTACACAATGCCTCAGGCCTGTGACTGCCACATTCAGGCCACATCCTGAACATGAATGCCACCCACCTGCCATGGCTGCTTCCCACTGCCAGGCAGGGGCGCAGAGCTGGCAGGGTACCCAACAATACCTGGGTGTGGCCACCCAGACTCCTGCCACCTGCTCAGAGGAGCCACCCTGGCCCTGGCCAGGGGGGCCTCTCCTGCTGGCATGGCCTGAGCTCAAGGCCCCCGTGCTTCCCCTCTGCACCTGTGCACACCCTCTCCCTATGACAATAAGCCAGGAAGGGGGGACCAGGTGGCACTGCCAGAGGCCGCAGTGAGCCATGCCAGGGAGCACTCCTGAACCAGTCTTGCCTCTGCAGGGCGTTTCTAGGTGGTGAGGAGTCTCGGTCCTGGGGGACAGCCTCTGCAAACTCCCCAGCCTGTTTCTCACCTGCCTCCCCAGGGCTTCCGGGTGCAAGGGCTGCAGACATACAGAACTACATGGACATGCTGAACCCGGAGCTAGGCCTGCCTCCAAGCAAGACGGGGAAACCTACACACCCTCCACCGCCCCCCAGCTTCCCTCCACCACCTCCACCCCCAGGCAGTCAGCAGCCCCCACCCCCACCGGGCTACCCAGCTCCCAGGCCCCCCTCGGCGCTGCAGGCAGCTGACATCTACGTGCAGACCAAGAGCAAGCTCCGCCATGTGGAGACCGAGACCCTCAGAAAGGAGGTAGTGAGCTCTGACTGCCTGCGCCCAGCGCTGCCACTGGCAGGGGGGAGATGGGTGCAGCAGGATGTTCGCGGCCTGAGCTCTGGGGCAGCTCCAAGGGTGCAGGAGGTCAGAGAAAGCTGCTGTGTAAGTGGGCAGTGGTGGCTGAAGGAGTGAAGATCCCGATGGCCACACCAGGAGCTGGTCTGTGCCACCACTCAGGCAGTGGCAGGGTAGTCAGGAGTGGAGGGGATGCATGCAGGCTGCCCTTCTGAGACACATGCATGCCTGAGGCCCTGGGCTCAAGTGGAATGGCACCAAGGGGCATATATGCCAAGCAGCATGGCGTGAGGTTGTGGGCCAGGGGAGAGGAAGAAGCTGAGTGGACCCGAGCTCCCTGGGCATCTGGTGACAGATGGCACTGAGGGCAGGAAAGCAGAGATGGCTGGGGCTTGGGGCTTGAGCGCCTGTGAGTAGGGGAGCTATTGCCTACAATGGGTGCTTGCAGGTGGAGCATGCCTTGAAAAGGGTGACAGCTTGTGGGCACAGTTAGCATAAGCATAGGACCATTAGCCAGTGGACTCCAGAGGCCCGGGAGTGGCAGAGGTGATGGGTGTCAGGTCAGGTCGGGACAGCTCTGGGAATCCTAGGCAGGAGGACCAGAGAGGGCGCTGGGGCACCAGCCACAGGGACTGGGCAGGGCTGGTCTGAGAAGGGAGGGGACCAGCTGAGACCACAGGTGGTCAGGTGTGCAGAAGCAGCTGCTGCCTGGAGTCCTGCAGCAGGACAGACCCTGTAATTCTCTCCCCAGCCCAAGGCAGGCCACCATGGGGTGGAGTGGTATAATCTGTTTGTTCAGGTGACAATGTCCCCAGGGGGAGGGACCTGTGGAGGGGACACGAACCTGAACAGGGACTCCACCCACTACCAGACTAGACATCAAATTCTCCTTTCATCTTTAGAGGAGGTTTCTTGGGCACAGCTCTGTGTCCCAGGTCGAGGCACATGGCCCGACCCACAAGCAGGAACAAGTGCCTGGCCAGCACCCACTCCCCACCCCACCCCTGTGCCCAGCCCACAGTTGCTCAATCCTCGTGCCCCTCAGCAGTATGTGCGTGCAGAGCCACAGGCTCTGGGCCTCTCTACAAAGGGCCCTTTGTGTGCCCCTGCGCCCTCAGCACGGAGCCGAACTTAGGGAGGCAGCAGGGTCGTGGCAGCCAAGAGCTCCTCCTGGGCTGCAGGGGGCCGCTGGCCCAGAAAACGAATCCAGCGTGTCACGTTCCCTGAAACGTGAGCCTGGCCACGGGGGTACAGAGGGTCCAGGGCCATCAAGGGGACGCAGGGCTCTGGGGTGGGCAGGAGGCAGCCTCCGCGCGGTCACTCGGCCTTTGGTCTCATCGACTCATGTCCCTATCCCTGCGCTGGGCTTAGCGAAGGCAGCGGCAATGGGGCGGGACGCTGCACTGTCACCCGAGCTAGCCTGGTCGCCCCTGAAACTCGAGGCTTGGGCGCGGGTGTTGGTGTCGCTTACGCAGATGGCGATGCTTTCTAGATGCGGGAGGGGAAAGGTAGGGGCGCGACCCGGAACCGGGCTGAATATAAGAGGCTGCGCCACGGTCAGGTCCTTAGCCTCTGGGTACAATGGGGGGGCGGTGAAAGAAGGTCGGGGTGACAAGGTTTGCTTAGGGAGACAGGCACGGGGCGGGGCCGCGCCTGGGGGTGGGACGGAGCCCGAGCATCCCCGATGGCGGGGGCGGGAAGGCTGCTGCGGCCCGGGTGATGCCAGGCCGCGGAGCCCATAGGCAGGCGGGCCGGCGCGCGGGCTGGGTGGAAACCTGAGCGCAAGGATCGGGTAACGCAGGTGTCGGGTCCGCGCCGCCCCCGCGCCAGGTGCACAGCGGGGGCCACCAGCAAAGTCGCAGGTAGGAGCAGCCCCAGGCCCGCGCGGCGTGGGCCCTTGAGAGAGCAGAGCCTAGCGGGGCTCGGGCTCTCTGTCGGGTTCCCTCTGCGCCTGGACCCCGTTGGAGACGGTTTGGGATCCTGGGGGCGCGCACGGGTGATCGGGCGCGGGGTGCTGCCAGGCTTTGGGGGAGCTGCCCCTTCTCCGGCTCCCCCTGGCGTCGGGGCTGGGCCACCCCGCCCCCAGGCCCGCCCCTTTTGGCCTCCGTGGGGGCCCCCAGGTGCCCTTCCTTGGCGAGCGCCCAGCACCCCTCCCTGCGGGGTGGCCGAGCCTGTCCTTCACTCGGGGCACTCGTGACCCTCGCCCTGTGCCACCCTTAGACCATGGGGGTCTAGAGGCCGCTGGCTGCGACCCCGGGGAGACCCGGAGCCCGACAGGGGGCGTGGGGGTCTCTGGTGGCCAAGCCCATTGACCACTGTCTTCCTGCAGCCCTCCTCGCACGACGGCCACCACGGGCTGCGCAGGCAGGACTCCGGCCGTAAGCCGCGCGTCTTCAGCAAACAGCCCAGCACGGGGGACTACTACCGCCACTTGGGCCGCCGCCCAGCCGAGCCACCGGCCGTGCACCCGGGCATGGCTCACAGTGAGGAGGTGCGCGCCCGCCCGCCAGCGCCCGCTGCCGCCGCCTCCACCCGCCCGGGACCCGACCCCGCCGCGCGCGCCTCACTCGCCGGCCCCCCCGCACCCCCGCAGGCGACGCCGCTCCCCGGGAACCACGTGCACAACGGCTGCGCCGCGGACCCCAAGGCGCGCAGGGAGCTCCCGCCACCTCCCCCGCCACCGCCTCTGCCCGAGGCCCTGAGCTCGCCGCCGCCCGCCCCGCCTCTGCCCCCGGAGGGCGCGGGCCCTGGCTGCGGGCAGCGCCGCTCCTCCTCGTCCACCGGCAGTGAGTAGGGGCGGGCGAGGGTGGGGGCGGCGCCAGCCCTGGAAGGGGAGGGAAGTCTAGACACCGCCCCCTCCCCAGTTGCTGTGCCCGCCCGAGTCCTTACTCCCGCCGCCCCTGCCCCAGAGAGCACTCGGCCCTAACTGGGCTCTGGGTGGCTGCTCTCAGGGGCGTCCTAGCTCCGGGGCTGGTGTCTTGAGGAGCAAAGAGCTCAGAGTGGCACCACCTTCAAGGGGCCCCGACAGCTGGCAGGCCGCCTTGCCGTCCTTGTCCCGTCTGTCTTTCTCTTCCCTACTCTCTTGCTCTTCCAGACTTATGAGGTTTCTTCCTAGGCTGATCCTGCCCCTGCCTTGGGTCAGCCAGGGCCTTGCCAGGGGAATGGGGCTGGGCTTCCTGCTGACTCCCCTGAGTATTTTCCCTCTTTTACTGGGGACTGAACCAGGGCCTTTGCACTGAGCTCTACCTTCAGCTCCTTTTTATTTTTTGAGACAGTCTCACTAAGCTGCCTAGGCTGAGCGGGAGATGGCTGTACTCCTCCCTAGCCTCCAGAGTGCTGGAGTGAGTGAGCAGGACTCATGGTCTTCTCTTTAGTAGGATGGGGCACTCAGGGCTGTCACCAGCCTGTCACCAGGCTGGATCTGAGGATCCTAGAGGTTGGAATAAGGTGCTTAACCACTCTTCTGTAGCAGGTGTGCTAATTTGTCATGGAAAAAGAATTTTCAGGACACATCAGAAAGAGGCATGAGACAGGTCTGTTAGGAAGAGATATTAGGATACACCAAGAACGGGGTGTGGGCACCCAGAGAGATGGGGCTCATTAGAGTTGGAAGCTGGGAACATGAATAACTGTTTTGAAGGGTGGGGGAAGCTCGGAAAAACAAGGCCTAGGCCCCAGAAGGGTTCGAGCCCATTCCATAGATACGGGCATGTTTTGTGTTTTTGTTTTGTCTTTTGAACTTTTTTTGTTCACCCAACCTGCTCCTTTATCTTGGGATCAGCCTCCTGTTCCTTACTGTCCCAAAGTTAGAATTTTAGTATCCCTAAAGAATTTTCAGTATGCTGGGGCTGACACGGAAGGAGTCTAAACTTGGCTCTAGGCATACATTGCCTTGGATAACCAGCTGCCTTCTGGAAACTGCAGTCTTCTTAAAAGTACCATCTTTTTAGTTATGGTTTTCATGTTTCCTTTCTACTTGTCTTTTCTTCTGTCCTACCTCCCTTGCATCCCAGCCTGTCCTGGGCCACCCAGCATTGGGGTCCCACTCAGTGGCCCCATCTCAAGCCTGACTCGGAGTCCGTGGTAGGACGCCCACCCTGGCCCAATGCAGTGCCAATGAGGAGGCCCTTGCACAGAGTGCCAGGGCCGGCAGCAGCCCTGTGCAGCCTGGGGTCCTAGATGGACCACCCTTGTGGGGCCCCAAGCACCCAGAGCCAGAGTTACAAGGGCAGGAAAGCTCCTCCTCTCTCCTCACCCCCCCACTCTCCCCGGCCCTCTCACTGTCCCCTGCTGTCCCCCTCTCATCTGGCCCCTTGCTCTAAACTTCACGGTTGCTTCTCTCCTCTCGGTTCCTAGAATTGAGAGTCCTGAGACACAGGAAGAGTGAGTAGCTGCTGGGGGCTCTGGCTGGGGCTGAGGCTGGGCGGGGGCTGGGGGAGAAGCTGGCTCGCACGCCGGGAGAATGCAGCAAGCAGAAGGGGCCAGGACTGGAGGAAAGGGCAGGTCAGGGGCCTGTAGGCAAGGGACCTGCGTGCCACCAAGGGCCCCTGCACCCGACACATCCCCTGTACCCCCACCACAGCAACATTCGGGCACAGCATTTTGCACCTGGCTGACAGCTTTGCCTGATAATGAGCCAGCTGCTCATTCTCTTTCCCTCTTTTCCTCTCCTTGTGACACTCTGGCATACCCAGCCTGGGCATCCAAAAGCTTTGGGCCGGTTTTCTTTCTTCCCCTCTCCAGACCTGACTACTTATTCGGGGCTCCAAAATCAGCCCTCCCTATACCCCCATTCACCTCTGCCAGCTGCACCGGAAAATGCAAACTGTGCCCAGGCATTTGCATGCTGGCCACCTGGCTCCGCTTCCAGGGTGCCCTCTCCCATGTCCTTTGTCAGCACCTCCTTCCTTCCTGGAACCCCCAAAACTCAGCAGTGCTTGGCCATGCTATGCTTCCCGCTTGCAATCAGTGTGTCTGCCCGTCTGTCTGTCTGGGAGTGTGGGCACAGAGAGGATCAGCTGGGTGCTGACGCTCCAGGTCCTGAGTCTGTATGACCAGAGGTGCCCCAGTCGGCTCGGTCCAAGGGTCACTGGGCTGTGCTGAGACAGGGGGAGAGGGCTGGAGGGAGACTCCACCCTGCCGGGGCAGAGCCAGGGCTGGGGACGAAGGTCAAGTGCCCGGCTCCAGGTAGTGTTTTGGAGCTGGGCATTGAGTGGCTGGAGTTCCCAGGGCCGGCCCAGGAGCCAACATGAACTCCCAGAGGCCTCTAGGCAGGGGCTCCATACACTGTGAGTAGGGTTATGAGGACGGTGGGGCTGTTATGTGTGGGAGCAGTGGGTTCACCCCTGGGTGCCCTGACAGCTACCCAGGGGACCCCAGAATCTGGAAAGCTGCCTCTGGGGCCAGGGAGGGCCCTACCCATCCAGACATGGGAAGGTTTCAGAGGGGCATTGGGGGTGCTGGGTCCTGGGCCCTGCCCCCAACCAGTGCCCCTTCTCCATGGCAGGCACCAAATCTTTCAACATGATGTCCCCAACGGGTGACAACTCGGAGCTACTGGCTGAGATTAAGGCAGGCAAAAGCCTGAAGCCAACACCACAGAGCAAGGGGCTGACTACAGTGTTCTCGGGCAGCGGGCAGCCAGCCTCCCAGGTAGGAGGCAGGCGAGAGCCCCGCTCCGGCTCCCCATGCTTGCCCAGTGCCAGTGCTCAGCGCCGCTGCTTCTCCCCGCAGCCTGACTCTCCGCTGCCACCAGTGTCGCCCGTGCCATCTCGGGCCCGGAGCCCCACCCCACCAGCGGCAGGCCCCCAGCCCCTGCTCAACGGCACTGTGGTGGTACCAGCACCGCCCACCACACCTGCTCCAGGCGTGCAGCTGGACGTGGAGGCACTCATCCCCACGCATGACGAGCAGGGCCGGCCCATCCCTGAGTGGAAGCGCCAGGTGATGGTGCGCAAGCTGCAGCTGAAGATGCAGGAGGAGGAGGAGCAGAGGCGGAAGGTGGGTTGGCGGCACTGCCCAGAACACCCTGGGGTCTGCGCGGCCCCGGCAGCTCCTTCCCCATGGCACCCCTTGGCCTGCTATGGCCCCGCAACCTCTGACAGCACTCACTGCCTCTGAAGAAAACTGGGATGGCAGGACTAAGCCCCCAGGACTGGTCCGATCTCCCCAGCCCCAGTAGTTTGCCCTTTGAAGCGAGGTGGCCGTGTGCCTTGGAATCCTCTGGGACTTGTTTACAGGCCCATCTGGCCTCTGGAAGGTGCAGGAATGGAAACTGCATTTCTAACAAACTTCTGGCTTGGGCTGATGGCATCCTGAGGACTTCGGTCTCAGGCAGACTCTGTCCCTGCCATGCCACTGTCCACATCTGCAAGATGGGCTGCACATCTATAGCTGATGGTTCCCATTCATTTGAGCAAACAGTGTTCCCAAGTGCCCTCTCTGTGCTCCACGCACTGCTGTAGCCTCGAGGGGTTCAAGGTGAACATACGGAAGCCTGCCTCCTAGGTGGCTGCCCCTGTCTGTGTTGATAAGCAGTTAAGTGCTCCCCAGGAGGTGGGACAGGATGGTGGGAGAGAGTGGCACCTGAGGAAACAGCTGGGTCTATACCTTGGCTGCTGCTATGGTCAAGAGCAGGGGCCTGGCTGGCCCTAAACTGGCCACCCATTGGGCTGGGGGCAGCAGTGTCTGAGGCAAGACTTGGAACTTGAGCAAGAAGTGGCCTGGGGAGGTGTAGGGGGAGGGGAACAGGGGTGCTGGAAGTCACAATGACTATGGCTGCGGACTGGACTGTGGGGGCTGAGCTGGAGGGGGCTTTTCCTGGGGCAGCAGGCAGCCCAGGGGTGCTCATACGGGGAAGTGGCAAATGGTATTCATACATGGTGATCCAATTGAGGGACTCATGATGAGCTGGGAGGCCAGGGGGGTGGGGGGTGGGGGGTGGTAGGCAGGCTCCAGAATAGAAGAGCTGGCACCTGAGAGGTGGCCTAGACGTGAGAAGAGAAAATTGATGAGTGAAGAAAAAGAGGAAGGGCCGGCGAGATAGCTCAGTGGACTAAGCGCCTGCCTGCTTCGGCAAGCTTGGTCTCTCATGGTTCACTGGCCCCACCCCTGGGGCGCCCTGAGCCAGAGACTGAGTCCAGGCATGGTAGCACACGCCTGTAATCCCAGAGTTGGGGAGGCTGAAAACAGGAGGATCACTACAGAGCTGCGTAGTGAGACCCTGTTCCAAATACACAAATGAAGAAGAAAAAAAAAGAGGAAACTAGGTGTGGTGATGCACACCTGCGGTCCTCTGGAGACTGAGGCAGGAGGACTGGCAAGTTCAAGTCCAGCCTGGGGGATTTAGGCCCTATATCAAAAAGGGTGGTGTGTGTGAGCCCTGTCCAAGCACGTGGGACACTGACCACTGGGGTACCCAGCACTGGCTGCAGCAGAGTCTGGGAAGGGTCAGCGGCCCGCCTGAGAGGTCTTGCAAGGATTTGGGCTAGAGTTAGCCGACCTTGGCTAGGGAGGGGGCTCCAGGCTGCTCATCGACCACACCTTTCGCATGCTCCTTGGATGGTGTAATGAGCGGCCAAGCCAGCGAGGAGAGCCCTTCTGCCGGCCCACCCTCTCCGCCTTGCAGCGGCGCCCAGCGGACCAAGTGGACACTGCCCAGAGTCCAGAGCCGAAGCTGGAAGAGTACCATTGCCGCCTCCTGGGCGCGGCCTGTTCCTGCGCACGCAGCAGCCCCGCGAGCCATTACACCACCCAGGACATGCAAAGGTTCCCTGGCCCCGCCGAGGCGGGGCTGGGCCAGAGGGAGACGCGCCTCCCCCCTCTCTTGTCTCCCCGCATAGCTGATGTCAGCCAGCCGGTGCTGCTACCCCCCGGAGGGCTGGAGGTACGTCCGCGAGCGCGACGCCATCCTCGGGCCCTTCGGCGAGCTCATGACTGAGACCGACATCCTCCGCATCGAGCAGCAAATAGAGAACCTGCAGGTGCTGCACAAGGCGCAGAAGCTGGAGGCGCGCCTGGAGCAGCTGGAGCTGGAGCTGGAGCAGCTGCTGCCCATCTCCGCCGCGCTCTCCGCGCCGCGCTTCACCGTAGACCCGCGCCGCATGCAGGGCCGCGCCACCAGCCTGCCCGCCTGGTGCAGCAAGATCTCCAAGCTGCTCAAAAGCATGGCCTCGCTGCTGGGGGCGCTGGGCGGCCGGCCCGCACACCTGGCCGAGCTGCTGACCGCTGACACGGGCCAGCCGCTGGCGCCCCTGCCCGACGCGCCCTCCAGGCCTGGGCCTCTCTGCCTGGGCCGTTCACACTCGCTCAGCTGGTGCCGCGAGGCCGTGGCGCGCGAGATCCTCGAGTGTGGCGTTTCCGTACGGCATCTCCGTGCCTCCTACGAGCTACGCGCCCAGGGCGCAGAGCCCGCGCGTATTCCACGTCACGTGTCCCCATCACTGGCCAGCAGTCCAAACCGAGAGCCGGTCCTTGAAGAGGACTATGTGGAGGTTGGGTCCAGTCAGCCCAATGCTGCCGTCAGCAAGGGCTTGCTGGCCACCGAGGAGCCTGTGGGAACCCCGGATGATCCCGCAGAGGCTCAAGACAATCAGGAGGCGGTGTCAGAGTCTGAGCAGATGGCGTGCAGGCCGCCGCCGTCTGCCGACCTGCCCGGCGTGCAGGACTACATTGACATGCGCAAGGAGCGCATCGTCTACCTCTTCCTGGAGCACTGGCGCAGGTGGACCTTTCGTGGCCCGGGGCGCCATGCCCAGGCGCGCCTGCGCAGATTGCTGCCTCGAGTGGTGGCTGCTGGTGCAGATCCCAACCCCGAGAGCGATGACCTTGCTTTCCAGCAGCCAGCAGGCGAAACTGAAGCCTGCAAGCCAGACCAGCGGCTGTTGCACCTGCTGAAGCAGCGGCAAGTGGTAGGCAAACTGCTGGGCCACTGGAGGAGCCTGCTTCGGCAGGTGCCCGCACACCAGTCCCAAGGCCTGCGCCTGGCACATGGCCTGTACTGGCCTGAACACTTCCTCCCGCCCCTGGACAGCGGGGCGCCCCGGCGCTACGACAGCCTTACGCTGGACCTCTTCATGCTTGGCTACTTCCAGCTGCTCGAGATGGGTCTAAGCCGGGAGGAGCGCAAATTCCGCCACCTTCTGTGCTATGAGATGTTTGACCGGCTGGGCAGCCACCCCTGGGAACTCATCCGCCTCTTCCACCGCGTGGTGATGGAGGAGGTGGAGGCCGGTCGGCGAAGCTGGAACGATGGCTTCGAGGATCTCAGATGCCAGTTCTTTGGAGACAACCCAGAGGCTGAGCCGGCCCAGGAAGAGGTCAGAAAGGAAGAAGAGCAGGAGGAAGACGAGGAGGAGAAGGAAGAGGAGAAGACACAAGGGGAGGAAAAGGAAAGGGAGGAGGAGGGGCCCAGTGAAGATGCTGCTCCAGCACACCTGGAGAATGGACACAATGGGCAGCCTGAGCCTGCAGGCCCTGAGCCACAGCCCCCACCTGCCGCACCACCCCCAACCTCAATCTCAGGCCTGCCTCCCTCTGAGGCCCCTGCGGAGGACTCCTTGGAGTTGGTGTCTGAGATGGGCGAGTTCAGCAACGAAGACATCTGCCGATACATCGACCGCAGCTTCTCCTTCTGGAAGGAGAAGGAAGCAGAGCTGTTTGACATCTGAGCTGGTGAATCCAGAGTTAGCCCTCAAGCATCTTAATCCTTGGGTGCCTGGCTTGAGCCCTGCAGAGGCCAGAAGTGTGCAGAAAAAGCCCAATGTGAAAGGCCACATGCACAGGTCCCCTGGAGGCAGGATAGGGGGCATTGGCCCAGCTAGAAGGCCATGGCCATGGCCTGGCTGGGATGTGTGTGGGGTCAGGTGGCAGAGCTGAGCAGCCTCTTGGAGTGAAGCACAGTGGGCAGCCTTGTGGTGGTGTAGTGCTGTCCCTGTCTCTGGTCGTTCACTGGAACCTGTGGCTACCTCCTTGTCCACCTGTTCAGGTTTGCGCATGTGTGATATGTATAGACCCTTCCTCTTCTGTAACATCCAAGGAATAAAACACTTTGCTGGAAGCTGCTTGTCTTGGGTCCCCCACCATGATGTCACTGCAGTTCCACAGTGGTGACTGGCATCCCCTCTATTGGAAACAGGGCAAGCATGGGACAGGTCTTTCCCAGGAGCCCATGGGCAGCTGAGCCTCCCAGAGCTAGCCAAGTGTATGAGATCTCAAGTCTGCATCTGCTCAGAGATCCTGGGTGACAGTCCTATCACCTGTCATCTGTCCACCTGTCCCCCTTGTACAACCTACACTCTTGTCTCTATCTGGTGCCACCTCTAGGACAGGGACTCTGGGGGCAAGAGGCTCCTTCCATCTCTACCATCGAGACTCCCAGAAGCCCTGTGTCTCACTGGTGTGAGAGTGCAGTCCCCTGGGCTCAGCCTGTCAGGGTCCTGAAGTTCTGTGCTTGTGTTTCAGGAGGAGGAGGAGGAGGCTCGGCTGGCCAGCCTGCCTGCCTGGAGGCGGGACATCCTTCGGAAGAAGCTGGAAGAGGAGAGGTGAGCTGGGGCTCAGGAGAGAGCCGTCCCACCAGCAGGGTGACTGCTTTGTCCCTACAATGGTGGCACCAACTAATGCTGTCTCTTTCTCCTTCCAGGGAGCAGAAACGGTGAGTGCAGGGCTGGCCCGAGCCTGCTGCCCCTCCCCTGCCCAACCCGAGGCTTGTCCTTTGGCCCCCTCATCCAGCCCTCCCCTGGCCACATCCAGTCATTCAGCCTGTATAGCATGACCTCTGTGTTCTTGGTAATACCACCAGACACCTCTCCCCCAGTCATTTAGCACCTGTCCCCGAGGTCAAGCTCTCCTGCTCTGACAACCTCGTTCCTGAATTACTCAGTCCCTGTCTCCTATTAACCTAACCTTTCTACCCCACGGTTCTTCCACTTTAGGACCAGTGCCTTCACCACCCATCCTCCAAGTTGGTTTCTTCCCTGCCAGTCTAGCCCAGGGCTGTCCAAAGGAAGTACAGGATGAGTCACAGGCATAATTTTACATTTTCTTAGTAATCACACTGAGATAATAGTGAATTTCATGTTTTATTTAACCCAATATATAAAAATATTTCCATATATAACCAATATCAAAATTAATCAAAAGTGGGATTTTTTATTTTGAGGGTGCATTTGGTATGGGGGATCGAACTCAGGACCTTGCACTTTCCAGGCAGGCCCTTATGCCACTGAGCTATCTCCCCAGCCCTGTGTGTGTGTTTTTGACACAGGGCTTTGCTATGCACTTCAGGCTGGCCTTGAGCTCACTCTGTAGCCCTGGCTGGCCTCGAATTCAGAGCAGTCCTCCTGCCTCATTTTCCCAAGGGCTGGGACTATAGGCATGTACTACCATGCCTGGCCTCCCTATCAAAATTATTAATGAGATGGCTTTTGCTTTTGTAAAATGAGGTCCCACTATGTTGCCCAGGCAGGCGTTAAACTTGTAGTCCTGTCTCAGCCTCCGGAGGAGCTAGGATTACTGCAAGAAGCCATTAGGTCCATTTTTTTTTTTCTTTTGTCTTTTTGAGACAGGGTCTCACAATGCAGTTTAGGCTGTCTTTGAGGTCTTTATAGTCCAGGCTGGTCTTCAACTTGCAGTGATCCTCCTGCCTCCACCTCTGGAGAGCTAGCAGGCATGCAGCACCACGCCCCACGGCACCTGACCCAGTCTTGTAACAAGTTTTACGCAGAACTGTGGGTGACCCAGCCCCTCTGTTTCTGGTAACATCCGGGCCCCTAACACCCAGTCTCAGCTCCCACTCAGCCCCCATGCCCCAGTGACCCAGATTTGCCCCCAGACAAGCCCTTATCTTGTTGGTAGCTCCTCCCACTGCCACATGGGGCCTGGCCCAGGCTTCACTGGGTTCTGCGCACACCCCATCTGCAGAAAAGCGGAGGAGCGACAAAAGCAGGAGGAGATGCAGCGGGAGAAAGAGCAGTCGGAGAAGCTGCGGACACTGGGCTACGACGAGTCCAAGCTGGCACCGTGGCAGAGACAGGTCATCCTGAAGAAGGGGGACATCCCCAAGTAAGAGACGTCGAGCCTCCGGACAACAGCGTGGCCAGCTCGGAGAGGTGTGGTGGTAGTGGGGTGTCTGCCCCCGCCTGCTGGGCCGGTGTGGAAGGGCTGGGAGCCGTGTCACCCGCCCCCTCCACGCCCCTACCCTTCCAGACCCCTACCCAGGCCCACGCTGGCAGCACCGCTTAAGCCTCCGCCAGCCCTCGGAAAATGTGCCCAAGCGTTGACGCAAAACGACGCTGCTCATTTGCATTCCGACCCACTTGCACTCGCCGGCGGGTGGCGCGGAGGGCAGGGAGCTGAGAGCAGGCCCCGGCCCCGCCCCCACCGTGGGTGGTGACTTTGTCATCAGCCGTTGCAGCCCCCTCCCCCGCACCCCGGAACCCGCGTCGCAGGCACATCCTGGGTGGAGGCGGCCCCTAGCTCGGGGAAGGGGTTTTCCTCCCTTCTCGACCCAGATCTGTGCCTGTCCTGTCCAGGGCCCCATTTCTTATCCTCGCCGAGGGTTTCCTCGCAGTCATGTGTTTACCGGAAACGATGCAACCTGCCCGTCTGGGCGGAGTCGCTGATCCTGGGGTCCAACCAATTACCCACAGCCCACACCCTAGTCCCTGGCGCCCCTGACCCTCTCACTGCCCGGGAAGAGTGGAGGGCACGGGCCCTGCACCGTGCCCCCCCCCCCCAATTAAAGCGCTCTCCACCGCCTGGGGCTCGGATCACTCCGTTCTTGCCACAGCCACCGCGGCTTTCTCTCCTCCTCGGGGATCACTGGGCCACGCAGATACGGAAGGAAAGAGTGGCTCCGGGGGAACAGGGCCGCCCTGGGCTACAACGTGGACCCAAAATCGGGGTGCCCAGTCCCCTGGAAATGTAGCCCGGGCCACTTTGTACCCCAAACCACCAGCACCACGAAAATGCCACTTGTCTTCATAGATTTAATACCAAGACCTCAGCCCAACTCGGGCCAAGAGGACAGCTGGGCAACCTCGTGCCCCTCCCGCACTCGCTTCCCCTGTGCTGGCGTCACAGCGGGGCTCTGCGGAGCAGACTGCGAGGCCAGCAGGCGCTGCTACGCAGGGCCCTGCCGGGAAACTCAGTAACTGACATAAAATGTCTACACGCATAAGTAACCGTACTTAAGGCTTCCACCAGGGTCACCTGAGCGCCAAAGTCACAGGAGACCCCAGTGTCACGGACAGCGCTGCAGGCGGAGGCGCAGGTCCTCGGCACAGCCATCCAACCCCATGCGCTCCAGGGCAGCATAGACTGCGCCCAGCCCCGCGGGCTGCTGCTGGCGCCAGCGCTTGAGCATCTCGTACTGCTGGTCGCGGAAGCGGCCGATTTCCACTTCCACGGCCTCGATCTCAGCCTCGCGCAGCCCTAGCGTGCGCACGAACTCCTTCCAGCGCCGTGCAGGGACTGCGTCCATCACATCGTACAGCTGAGGGCCCGGCTGGAGCACAGCAGCCTGAGAGCCTGCAGGGGCCGCTGCAGAGAGCGGGGGTGCCAGAGGAGAGCCTGGGGGGGAGGGGGAGGCCAGAGAGAGCCACTGGAAAGTGAACGGTGGCCAAGGTGCAGGGGCGAGATGGGCATCGCGTGGCACAGGGCAAGGCACCCGCACTGTACAGCACTTGAGTTGGTGGTGGGAAGTAGCCAGGCTGGGGTCAAGACACAGGCCACTGAATCCCCTTACCAAGAGTTTGGCCGGGCAGCTGGTCCCAGCTCTGTGGCACTTGTTGACAGGACAACTCTTGGGTCTGGGGGGAGCCAGGGGTCCATCTGGTGTCTACTAACTGGACAGTGCAGACCTTCCCACTGTTGCCAGGTGGTGCGAGAAGGGCATGTGTGCTGTCTGTAGGCTGCAGGTGGGAGGCCTGGAAGCCAAGAAAGACCCTAGGTCAGCCCTACCTAGCATGAGGTCAGGAGTGGGGGGTCCCTGGGTCGGGCAGTGGACAGCACCCCCAGCCACCTCCCCCAACAGGCCCTGCTCTCTCAGTGTGCTCCCAACTTTGTGTGTGGGGTGTGTGTGTGTGTGTGTTTGGTACCAGAGGTCGAACTCCGGACTTTGCACTTACCAGGCAGGTCCTTATACCGCTGGGCTATCCTGTGGTTCTGGGGACTGAATTCAGGGCCTTTGCCCTGAGCGACATCCCCAGCCCTTTTTAATTTTTATTTTGAGACAGCTAAGTTGCTGAACTGCCCAGGCTAGGCTCAAACTTGCAGTTCTCCTGTCTCAGCCTCCCAGGGGTGTGTACCGCCTGGCCCTCTCCTTGTCCCCAACCCCAGGGCCACTCGTCCCGCCGAGCATTAGCTCCTAGATACTTGTCTGGATCCCAGCAGAGAGAGAGCCACTTCAGGGCAGGTGCCGCCCCAGTTTCATCCACTGATAATTTGCTTTGCCCAGTAAACCTAACTGAGCCAGCCAAGGAGCCAGGAACTGGGGTCACAAATAGTTTTTCTCCCAGGTATAGGAGGTAGCCTTCTTCTAAAAGCACGTCCTGAGATTCTCACCTGTGGTGGAGTCAGGGCCTCCATGCCAGCTCTATCTCCTGACAGAGACAAAAAGAATTTGATCAGCTATCAGGCAAAGTCCAGCCCCTCTTGCATTGCTGCACCTCACCCTCCCAGCCTCAGTTCCCCCTCTAGACTGCCCATCCTGACCCTGAGTCCCAGTGCCTTTGTGTGTTATATGTGAAGACTTACCCGGAACCACCAGCTTATGAGCCTGGCAGCGCCAATACAAGTAGATGAGGGTGACCCCGAGCAGAAACGGGACCAGCAGTCCTGTCACAAGCACCTGGACCCAGAACACTGAAAGAGGAGCTGGTGGGTGTGGGTGGAAGCCAACCCCAGCCCTCCTGCTGGGATCCCAGTGGCTACCTACTCGGCCTCCAGCCACAGACAGCAGCACAGGGCTCAGGGCAGCTTCCCAGGATGCTCCTGTTAGGGAGGGATACCAAGTCAGGGTGAACTCCAGGAGGGGCTGCCCACCCCAGGCGGGGATTCCATCCTTAGCCCCCTGCCCTGTATGCCCCTCTCTGCCCAAGAACATCCCAAAGCACTGCTGAAATGTTTCCTGGCCCCAACAACTAGAACAACCACCACTCTTTGTTAAGCCTCTAGCAGCGGGTTCCTGGAATGTCAGCTCCTCGGGGCAGGGGCTTTTCCCTCTCTGGTTTCCTGTATAGCCCCAGCACTTAGGAGAGTCTGGGTAATGGTAGACACTAATAGATATTGATGGCTAAGTGGGCAAGGTGTATTTCCTTTTATCACACCTCTGAAAAGAGCCTCCTAGCACCCCGTGTCCAGATGAACCACAGATCAGGTTATTTCTTTAAACTTGTCCAAGAACTAACAGCAAGCCCTAAGTAAGGCGTCCAAGTTCTGAAGTGTCTATTCGTGTGATGACATAAGTGACAAATCTGGACTGGGGATGTATCTCAGCATCACAGCACCTGCCAGACAAGTGCAAGGTCCTGAGTTCAATTCCCAGTCTCAGACAAACAAAATAAGTGACAAATCCTGGGCCGGGGAGATAGCTCAGTAGAATAAGCGCTTGCCTGGCAAGTGCAAGGTCCTGAGTTCAATCCCTGGTACTGAAAAAAAAAAAAAGTAGCAAATCCTTAGGATTCATCTAAAGGAAATTTTGAGCCCAGCATGCTCACACATGTCTACAATCCCAGCACTCAGGAGGCTGAGGTGGAAAGATCACTATGGGTTCAAGGGCGGCCTGGGCTACATAGTGAGTTCAAGGCCAGCTTGAACTGCATAGTGACACCCTATGTCAATAAAAGAACAAACAAAAGAAAGGAAAGGAAAGGAAAGGAAAGGAAAGGAAAGGAAAGGAAAGGAAAGGAAAGGAAAGGAAAGGAAAAGGAAAAGGAAAAGAAGTTCTGGCAGAAAATAAAGATACTGCCTTATTTATCTGACATGAGGTGAATCTAGAGTTCCCTTTTGAATCCATGCCTGTCTAAAGTGGGGTCTACAAGCCCCAGGGCCAAGCTCCTTTCTCCTGAGCCCCTCCCTGTACCCCCATACTGGTAGCACTGGCCCTCAAAGCTTCCATTCTATCCTCAGGCCCCTTCACATTGGCCCAGGACACCCATGAAATTACGTGGGGCAGGACATGCAGCCATCGCTGTGTTCATAGAAGCCAGGTGGGCAGGGTCCACAGCCGTTGTCTCTGCCGGAACCTGCAGTCCAAGAAACGGTGTGGGTCAGGACCAGGAAGTGTGTGCAGGAGGTGTGAGTGTGTGTGTGTGTACTCACAGGGCATAGGTGTGTGGTGGTCAGGGGGCTTGCAGTCCAGGCACGGAAGGCATCGGAAGGGTGAACCTGCCGTACATGGTCTGACGGCGCAGTCGACAAGCTGGCCTGGTGCACAGCCACAGCGGGTGTCTGCCACAGCAGAGCAGTTCTCCAAGGCCACCTGGAAGGCTGGCATGGCACAGGGGGGCATGGTCAGTGCCAGAGATGATGCCCATAGAGAACAGGGATGGGTGCCTCAGAGGATGGAGGGAAGCACAGGCCAGACAGTAAGAGAGCCAGGGCTGCCCCAAAAGGGAGGGAGCACAGCCAGCCAAAGCCAAAGCAGGTGGGACCAGAAGTCAGCAGGGCAAAGAACAGCCTGAGGCAGGAGCAGGGGAGGCACAGGGTTCGCAGGCCTAGAGGTTATCCCAGGCCAGCCCCTTCAGAAAGACACTGGCCACAGCCTGTCCCCCCACGAGTAGCAGGCAGCCCCTCACCCTCCTCATCACAGGCCTGGCAGCGGGTACAGCGTTCATTGTAATGGTTCTCCCTGGCCAAGAAGGTGCCCTGGGGACACGGGAGGCAGGTGGAGTCGCCACAGTGCTCCGTACACCTGGCCTTCAGGTAGTGTCCTGTGGAACCCGGACAGGGTCGGACACTCCAAGGGGGCATGTGGCACCTCCCACCAGGCTCCCTGCCATCCTTCCCTCCCTTCCCACCTCTGGCTCCCCTCTTTCCTCCCAGCCCACCCCTACCTCCCACCTCCTCCTCCCTCACCCTGTCTAGTCTGCCTCTGTCCCCCACCCTTGCAGCCACTTACCCATTGGGCAGCCCTTGCAACAAAACCGGCCATACCTCCTCTGGGTGTCACTGGCACAGTCACACCTGGAGCCAGGCGTGCTGCCCTGAGCCCCAGCTCCCAGCAGCAGCAGCGGCAGCAGCAGCAACAGCGGCAGCAGCACCTGGGAGACAGGGACACTGACCCTGGGTGCATCTGCCCTTCTAGCGCCCACTTCTCAGACTCCTAGGCAGAAGGGGTGCCCATGGGTGTGGGTGGGTCGGGCTTCCTCCTTCCAGTGTACAGCCCAGGAGGGGCCCCTGTGAAGCCCTCATGCTTCCCCTCCACCAGGGAGGAACCTACCCCCGCAGCCTTCCGTGAGATAGGACCCCAGAGCCCCTGGCCCCAGGAAAGGTGTTTCCTCTCAGCGGAAGGGCCCCACCCAGTCATGGCCTCTAAATAGGTCATGGGGAGGAGAGCACCCCCTAAGGCAGCACCCCTTCCCTCGGAGCCTTCCATCCTGACCTGAGGCAGAATGTCCCTGCCACCCGCTGCCCCACTCACCACAGCCCCTGCTGCTGTGCAGCCCCTCGGCCACGGCTCCATGGCCGCGTGCAGCATGCTGGGCCCTCGATGGGCAGCAAGGTGAAGGACGACTGGGCGACAGGCAAGCACACCCTGGGGTTGCCCCGCCCCATGTCCCGCCCCCCAGCCCGTGGCAGGGGGTGGGACAGGGCGAGGCCACAGTTCTCAGGATGCCCAGCAAGCACGACACCCGCCCTGCCCAACTGCAGACACCCCCAGCCCTCCTGCGCCCACGTGACACGTGCCCCCACCCCTCAGTCTGGATCTAACCCTGAGAACCAGCACTACAGCACGAAACCAGAGCTAGAGATTTCTCTCTGGGACTCTATCTGCAGACTCCAGTGCACAGAGTGGGTGGAAAGTCCCCTCCCTGTCCCCCCTAACCCAGGCACCCGGTATGAGCCGAGGGAGGACTCAGTCCTGGGTCCTAGGGAGTGCCCTCCACAGAGCCTGGACATGAGCTCACAGGTGAGCTCCCTGAAGCATCATTTCAGGACAGCGCTGCTGGGTGCTTCCGGCTCTGGCAGGAAGAAGCCGGGTCTTTGGACACTGGCCTGATGCCACCCCCACCCCATTTCTGCTGCCTTTGCTTCCCAATGTCTCCTGTAGATTCCCGCTGGAAGGGCACAGAGCTGCGCCACCCATGTCAGGAAAGCAGTGGCCCAAAAGACAGGACTCCAGGGAAATATATACAAGTCTTTATAAAAGAACCATTGCTCAATAAATATGCAGCTTTACACAGAGCCAACCCGAGCCTGGGCTGGCCAGCAGGCCTGGGAGGGTGGGTACTGGGGACAGGGGCTGGTCCCCATTGAGGCCAGATGAAGGTAGCAGTGCAACCAGTGTCCTGGAAGCCCAGTCCTGAGGGTCAGAGCTGGTAGCCACAGGAGAAGGGGACAAGGGACCCTCTGGGCAGATGGGGCATTCTGTAGCCCAGGCCACGGATTCCGCTGAGCATCCTCCACTCCATCCGTCAGCAAGTGCAAATCGGCCAGGGTGGTGGGCAGGGCCCCATCCAGCACTCGGGCCCAGGCCACAGGAGGCAGCAGCTTAAGCAGGTACCACAAGCCAGAGGCATATGTCTGCTGTCCCTTGGTCAGTGGCACCCCTGAGGGTGGTCCCTCTGCTCAGACCTCCCTACAAGGTGTGGAGGGGGAGAGAGACACCCTTCTTTGGAGAATATCATGGCAAAGTCCTTCTTGTCCTGACTTCAGGCCCCTGCACTGCCACCCACTATGGACACCCGTGTCCCAGCCTTGAGGCAGGTCCAAGGCCCCCTCATACATACCATCCCCAAACGCCCACACATCATTTGCGTTCATGCCCCTACCTAAGACCACAGCACCCCAAGCCATCTGCCCCAGACCCCAGCTGGGCCACTCACGAGGCAGTAAGCGTGGAGTTGAGCAGCAGGGTGGTCCTGATTCGGTAGAGCTGGGCCAGGGTCAGCTTCCTGTGCTGGGCTGAGAGCCCTGGAGGGGGCCCAGGCTGGACCTGGGGAGATGTTCCGGAGGGCAACTCCCTGCACCTCCTCCCAGTGAGGCCAGCAGGCTCCCCAGCCTGACAGCTGGCCCTGCCCTCCAGCTCTGATGGCTCAGGGCCACTGTCCAGACTAGGCAAACAGTTCCAGCCAGGCCCCACTTCCTGAGGGGAGCCCTGAGTCCTAGTGTCAGGGGCAGTAGCAGCCAGGCAGAGCTCAGATAGGCTTCGGCTGGGAGCTAGGGGCACCGTCTGGGAGGCAGCCCCAGACAGCAGCTGCAGGAGGCTGGCTTCAGATTTGGACTTGAGCAGGTGGGGCAGGCCGGGCAGAAGCTGGACTGGTGTGCGGCGGCGGAGTCGGGGTGAGGGTGGAGGTGAAGGGGTTCTGGATGGCTCTAGAGGCTGGGGTGTCGGCTCCGCCACTGTGGCTGGAGCTACAAAGTCCTGCAGGGAGGTGGGGGACAGGGTGCCGTAGGCCGAGTCCATGGAGCAGGAGCGGCCGTCCACTGGGCCCAGGGGCAGCAGCTCAGAGGTGGGTGTGATGGAGGAGGCAGTGGTACCCAGAGAGGTCTCATCCGACTGCGAGCTGAAGGGGCCACCATCAAATTCGGGGGAGGACAGCGTCTCCCCAGGCTCCACCACAACCATGGCCAGGGTCTCGGTGGAGCCATCAGACGCACTGTGGGGTCAGGAGGAGAGTCAGCCCGGAAGGCTGGCAGCAGCCCACGCTGGCAAAGCACAGAGGTTCACACCTGTGTCTAGGGAGCTCAAGGCCCAGACCTGCAGGCTCCTGCGCCTGCTGCAGACCACAGTCGTGGCCGGCTCCCACTAGAGGATCAGAGATGGCCTTCATGCTGAAAACTGTCCTCCCTGCCCCCATCCTTCTGGGAGATAGTGCCGCCCGAGCACCTGTTGTGTCTACAACATGAGGCTATGCTAAGGAAGGGGACACGGCTGGGCCCTCCCCAGCGTCAACTCTGGACCTTGGAGCCAGAAGGTCTGGACTACAGTCCCTGCCCTGCTGGGACCTGTGAGGGACCTTGAGTAAACGTACCAGCGCTGGGAGTCCAGGCTGGGGTTGCTCTCGTGCAAGATGGTGGGGGAGCTGGCAGCTGAAGCGCTGCTCTCGTCTTCCTCTTCCTCTTCCTCCTCTTCCCGCTCATCTTCCTCCTCTTCCAGGCTTTGCAGCTGCTGCTGGCTGCCTGGCTGCTCCTGGGCACGCAGCTGCTGCAGCTGGTTCTGCAGGTAGGAGTCGATGGGCACAGGGCAGAGTGAGCTGGGATCCCCAGCAGCCCCCCACAACCCCCTGTCCACCACCCACCCACAGGCCACCGTGCCATCACCTGGGCATTGTAAATGGCATCCACCCAACCACGGCATAAGGCCTGGCCACTGGCCTGGAACGTGTAGGCGCCCACAGCACTGTGGAACTCGTTCAGGTGGATGAGGAGGAAGGTGCCTGGTCAGGTAAAGCCTACATTAGTACTGGCCAGGCCCAGAGCCCTGCCCAGCACAGCACCCACCCAGAAGCAGGGACCAGGATGCCTCACCGGGGTCCCGGAGCTCCCGGCACACGATGTTGTCCACCAGCAGCGGTGGCCTAATCACCTTGGTCCTCTCGGCCTTCTTCACTGCCTTGGTCACCAAGAGCAGATCAGTGAAGAGGAAGCAGTACACGTCCATCTGGGTTGAGGGATGGGGCAGTGGCTGTGGGGTCAGCACCCTCAATCTGAACCAAACACCTTCCCTGCTCCCTCTCCCTTGAAACTGTTTGGCTGAGAAAGTCTTGCCCTGTATTTCAGGCTGGCCTTGAACTCATAGTGACTCTCCTGCCTCAGCCTCCCTGCTGCTGGGGTTACAGGTATGTGTACCACGCTAGCATTTGAGTGAAGTGAAAACAAAGAGGAAGGCTGCTTTCTTTCTTGGAGATACAGTTTGTAGCTTATCTCAATCACATTTTACTTTCAACATAGGAAAAGGGAGGTGATTTCAAAATTACAGTTTAGGGCTGGGGATATAGCTTCGTGGCACAGCGCCTGTCTAGCAATTGCAAGGTCCTGAGTTCGATTCCTGGTACCAAATCAGTAAAATCAGTTTGCTGGCTCTCAGCTCAAAGGTGTGTGAAAGGTTAACAGCCCTCACTGAATGTGACTCCTCCCCTTCGTGGCCCTGAGCGCCTCTATATTAGAGAATAAAGGACAACCCCAGCATGGAGGTGCAGGTGCGGCGGTGCCATATAAGCCCAGCTCTCTGGAAGGCTGAGAACACTATCAAAAGTCTGAGCACAATCTCAGTAAGTTAGCAAGAGCTTGTCTCAAAGTAAAACACAATAAAGGTTGTAAGAACTTAGCTCTGTGCTTCAATGCCTACTACCCTCCCCCCCAAAAAAAAATCAAGAGCGCAGCAGCCGGGGTTTAATCCCCAGCGTGCCATGCCAGCCCAGCCCGCAGGGCACGCAGAGACGGCGATTGAGACTAGGCATGGTGGGTGCGCCTGTAATCCTAGCACTTGGGAGGCTGAAAACAGGAGAATCACTACGAGCCCAATCTGTATAGTGAGACCCTGTAGACATCCTAAATATAGGGGAAAAAAAAAATCAGGTGTCTAATCACCCCTCAGCATGACCCCTGAGTCACTGGTTTTCAGGCTGCCACCTAGCTGAGAACCACGGAGGCCCCCAGGGGGGCTGGACCCCGAGGACAAGTGTGGGTTTGGAGGCCCGGCCGGCGTTACCTTGCTGTCCTTGCCCTCCTTCATCTTCAGGCTGCCCTCCAGCAACAGCTGCCGCGTCTCCTCGGGTGAGGCTCCCGGAATGGGCGCTGCGAGGTCCAGATGCAGAAACTCCTTCAGGAGCTGGAGGGGGCGCGGGGGCAGGTCAGATCAGGGCCGGGGTCCTCCTCTGGGGCAGGAAGCTCTCCGCGGAGGCCCGCGGCCTCCATGCTCCCAGCCGCCACAGCGCGCCTACCTTGTCCACCTCGTCGTTGCTGCCCTCCACCACCTCGTAGGCGTCGATGCGGCTCGCCACGGCCGCCAGCCGCCGCCGCTCCTGCCGCTGCCGCATGCACGCGTTCACTTGGTGGATGAAGCGCTCCACCGAGCAGATCTAGGAGCGAGGAGGAGCAGCGGCCCGGCGTCAGGCCCAGGTGGCCAAGGGGTGTGGCGCCGGGAGAGGCACCCCACTGCCCTGTTACCATGGTGACGAGGGCCTCCTTAGCTCGGGGTTCATCAGTTTTCCTCAGCACCGACTTGAGCAGCAGCGGGTATTTCGTGAGGCGCTGGTGCGGCTTGGCCAGCATGTCGCTCAGCTTTAGCCTCTGGCACTGCTGATGCTTCTCGGCCCACTACGGAGGGGGCGTGGCTACGTTAAGCCACGCCCACGACCGTGCCCGCCCCGGGAACCCACCCACCCAGCTCCTGCAGTGTACTCACTGTGACGTAGGCACGGAACAAGTCGTTGTCGCGCAGCAGGACACGCATATACTCCATGCAGCCCTCCTCCTCCATGCAGTAGCGGACGTAGGGCTTGAAGAGGGAACCGAACTGGGCCAAAGCAGAACCACAGCTCCGGTGACCGCGCGTTCCTGGGGGTCTCTTGTCCCTACTGAGCTTTCGCGACCTACCCAAGCGGCAAGCTCACTGCCCTCTGCTCCCAGGAGACTGACCGCCCAGGCCAGGTGAAAGGGGAGATGAACACATGGGGATTCAACAAGGCCACCGACAGGTCCTCTGGGGCCACTGGTCGAGGAGACTGGGCAGTGATGGGCCTACGGCATCCGGACCTGAGGCCTTTCCAGCGCCCCAGCCCTACCTCGGTGGCCCTGCCATACCGTCCTGAAGCCTTTGAGGAAGTCCCCGGGCTGCAGCAGCGTTCGCGCGCGCCGCGCCTTGTCCAGCACCGGCGCCATCACGCTGCCCCACAGCGTGCGGTGCAGCCGCGCGATCTCGGGGATGTTGCTGAACAGCCGCTCCGCCTCCACCTGCGCGTGAAGAGCGGTGGGCGCTGCGGACGCCCCGCCCCTCCGCCCCACGACCCCCTCCGCGGCCCCACCTCTCTCTCCAAACCTCCCCACTCCACGCCCTGGGCTAGGACCCGCCGCACCGCACCTCGCACAGCAGCCCGGATTCTTGCAAGTTCAGGAGGCAGCAAAGGAAGAGCTGTAGGGCGCAACACAAACTCAGGCTCCCCTCCCCCTGAAAAGCCTAGGGCACTCTTGCCCCTTGGCACCCGGGAGCTGCATGTTCCCCACCGGTCCCCTGCGGTCACCCTGCCCTGGCCCCACCTGGAGAAAGTTCTGGGGACTCTGGCCTCTAATTCTCCCCTCTACCTCTGCCCTGGCTAAGTCGCTCCGTTGGACCCCCAAACCCGCTGTTGGAATCCCAGAGTGCCCACCCTGACCCAAGCAGGACGGGGCCCCCAGGGTGTCTGGCACACAGCAGATGTTCAGAAGTAGCCCCCAAATGAAGGACAGAAGTCTCGCCTGTGTTAATTCGCCTTAGCCTGGCAGTCTTGCCCTGAAAAGCCCCCTCCCAGCACCTGACCTGGGGAGCAGGCAGGCAGGCAGGCAGGTAGGTAGGTCATACGCACATTGGTGATCACATGCAGTTTCCGGATGTAGGAGGCCTCCGTGTGCAGGAGCTCCCAGACGGCCTCCTGCTGGTGGCACTGCCGCCGGCTCAGCTTCTAGAGGGAGGCCAGACCAGGTGAGCTGGAGGTAAGGCTCGGTGGGGGCCACCCTCCCCACATGGGTGAATGATCACAGACAAGACAGCAGCATCTCACACCATGGTGATACATGCACACCCGTGTGTACAAGCCACACAACTCATAGCAGCTAAATCTTGGAAGCCGCGTATATGTCCATCAGATGAATGGATAAAGAAAATGTGGTATTACACACAATGGAGTACTACTCTGCCGTAAAGAAGGATAAACTTGAGTCATTGGTAGGAAAATGGATGCCCATAAATACTGTGTAACTGCAAACAGGTGCTAATTAAAAAATCAAAGGAAAAAGGTCTGTCCCCACTGTGTCATACAGCCAGGCAGCTCACCACTTCCCCCTGGCCTCAGCTTCCCAAGGAATACCCGATCTCTTCCTCACGGGCTGCGGCTGCACCCACCTCATGGCCATCGATGAGCTCCCGCCAGCTGTCCTCCAGGCGAGGGCAGGCACGGTCCTGATCCTCGTCCTCGCCCTCGTCCTCTTCCCAGGAGTCATGGTCGAAGCACAGCTGCCGGGGCAGCCGGGGCAGCCCGAAGAGGCTGTAGACGTGCAGCTTGGCTTCTAGCTGCTCCATCTTATCTGAGTCCTGGCAGGTGGCATGGGTGGGGTCAGGTCAGGCAGCAGGCAGTTGCCCTGTCCCCGCCCGCAGGGCCACATACCCGGCCCAGGGCACTGGCGCTGGGGCTGGAGCTGAAGAAGCCACTGAAGCGACTGGCTGCCCGGTTCCTCCAGCTGTCACCAGTCCCACTGCTGGGGCCGCCGGTGGGCATCGAGGAGCTGGAGAGTGCGGGGGGCTCCTGCCCCGGGAGGCTGGCCTCCCCCAAGAACTCTGCCATGTTCTTGCGCCGGCGCCCAGGGGCCTGGCAGGGAAGGGGTCATGCTGATCAAAGCCAGCTCCATCCCCCACAGCGACCCCCATGAGGTCTCCCCTGCCCTTCAGGGATGTGGGAGACCTCTGCACCCCTTCCCTGGCTCTGCCTCTCCTGAGACCCAGGCATGCTTTGGGGGCTGGAAAACGCAGACACACAGTCACCTTACTGTTTTGGTTTTGAGACAGGGTCTCACTGTGTAATTCAGGCTGGCCTTGAACTCACTATGTAGCCCAGGCTGGCCTTCAATTGGCAGTGATCTTCCTGCCTCAGCCTCCCAGGATTATAGGAGTACACACTATTCCCTGCAAGATTTACCTGAGTGTAGCCTCCAGTCAAAGCATGAAGCAGGTGAGGAGAAACACACACACACACACACACACACACACACACACACACACACACACACACACACGGCACCTCCAGGCACAGCTCCCAATGGATCCATCCCAGCACAAGGTGCCAAAGTCTCTCCCAAGCACCAGCACACTCACTTACACATGCACAGACTCCAACTCCCCAGCACTAGAAGACCCACCAGCAACTTGAAGTAGGGTCAGAAAGGGTCCCTATGCTCCCTTCCAGCCTCATCTTCCCGGGGAACCAACAGGGGTCAAGGGGGCTCTCCCTTCAAAGCCCCACCCAGCCCCTCCTCACCAGGACATCAAGGCTCTCCCGGCGGTTCTGGGGGTCCACACACTCCCGCGTGGGGGGCCCAGCCCCAACCACCGGCCGCAGGATTGGGAGACTCAGGGACCTGGAGTCCTTCACACCTTGCTCCACCTTGCCCTCCTCCCCAGGCTTGGCTGGGAAGGTTCGTGGGGATGACAAGCAGGCTTAGCTCCCAGACCAGCAGGAAGGGACCCCAGTTCGCACTCCCCAAGGATCCGGACCAGGCCTGCTTGCCCGCCCCTGCAGCCCCACCAGCCCCCACCACTCAGGAGCACCAGCAGGGCACCTGTATGGTAATGAGCCTGCTCCTGGCCAATGGGAAGTGAGCAGCCTAGGAGGGGCACCCAGCCCCAGGCAGCCTTGCCACCTGCCACCTGCCACCTGCCACTGGCCCAGCCAGCAGTGTGGGGAGCCTGCTGCTCACCTTTGACCCTCAGGTAGTGTCCCCCGAACCTGTAGGCCTCAAAGGTAAGGGACAACGGTGTGTTGGACTGGTCCAGGTAGATATCCACTTTGCTTAGTGCAATGCCCTTCCTTTCAAACACAGGCAGCAGCACCTCCCTGTGTCCAGGAAGGAGAGGCAGGGTTGAGGAGACAGTCACAAATGCCCCAGCTCCATCCACAGCCCTCGCAAGAAAAGGAGCATAGGCAGAACCACACACAGGGCACAGACCTGGTCCCATCCTTTGGACAGGTATGTATGGCATTCCAGGGGTGCCAGGCACAGGTCTTGTGCACATGCATACACACACAGTCACACCTGTGCAGAACCAGGACCTCGGACCCCTGGAGGCCATACCTGCCCCACAGCCACTGCTGCAAGCAGTTCCCCCCCACACAACCCTACCCCAGTGACTTCTTCTTCATGGCCGGGACGATCTCGGCCTCAATGTCCACATTCAGGTCAAATTTCAAGGTGAAGCACTCCTTGCTTGGGTCCTGAAACAGCAGGGTGGTCAGCTGCTCCACTGTCACCGCGTGTCCCCTAACCACCTGCCCCACCATAGCGCCCAGGAGGGGAAGCCCACCAGGGACTGGAGGCTGCGCTTGGATCTCTCCAGGCCTCTGCCCCCGCTGGGAGGCCTCCCTGTACCCTGGCGGGGGGAACACATTTACTCCAGGCCACACTCCTCACCCTGAGGCCCAACTGGGGTCCCCCACCCGCCCCGACCGGCCTGGGGGCGCCTCACATCTGTGTGCCTCCTCCTCGCCTTCTTCTTGGACAGTTTCAGGCCTGTGGTCTTCCGGTCCCTGCAGGGAAGCAGTGGGGGAGATGGTGGAGGTGCAGGGGGGCCCTCACCAGGGACGTGAGCGGAGGCCAGGACTGCTCCCCACCCCCGGTTTGTCCCAGGCCTTAAGTAAATCGGGCAGACCAGGACCACGTAGGACTATGCGCCCTCTGCTGGCCGCTCGAGGACTCGCGGCAACGATACCCGTCGGATATGGAAGTCATAGCCAGAGCTAGGGATGCCCTGGCGGCCTCTTCTGGAAATGAGGATTTCGACAGGGGAGCGAAGAGGTCCCCAGCCAGCCCTTCTGGGAGAAGGCCCCGAAGCGTCTGCGTGCCTGCGTCTCTCTCCATGGGCACTGCCCACTGTGCCCACCTACCCTCTGCCATCTATGGCGCTGTCCTCCTCCTCCTCCTCCAGGTTCATGGCAGGGCTGGTGCGGGGCGGGCACGAGCGGGTGGACACATTGCGAGCCAGGACAGACCCTTGGCAGAAACCAGAAGGGGGTTTCCAAGGACAGCCCCCTTAGCCCTTCAACACAGCCGCCTCTGCACAGTTTGTGACCCTTGGGACCCCAGGGAAGGATCAAGAGCCCGCAGTTCACCCAGGAGAGGGTGCATTCACCATTATCACCCCCCACACGCGCATGCGCGTGCACACACACACACACACACACACACACACACACACACACTGTTCAGAAGCTCCCTCAATGACACTCCAGGCAGGGACCTGCCCCAAATACAAACCTACCTGCAGCCTTAGTGTACCCATTGATAAAATAAAGATAATGAGGTTTTTGCTTGTTTTATGTTTTAAAGACAGGGTCTCACTATGTAGTTCAGGCCTTAAACATAGCCCAGGCTGGCCTCAAACTTGCAACCCTCCTGCCTCAGCCTCCCCCTCCCAAATGCTTTGATTACAGGCCTGCGCCACCATGCCCGGCTAAAACAAGGATAATGAAGCCCTAGCTCTAGACTTTACAGGCAGGGGCCACACACAGACACAAGTCCCCAGGCCCCAGCAGACAGATGAAGACATCCTTTCGTCTCTCTGCCAGAGCTGGGATGGCACCCAGGAGTGGCCCTGCTCCCCAGACAGGGCAGGGCTTCACAGCATCTGATGGGGCCCAGGCTCCGTCCAGCAGGGGGCGCTGGTTTCCTTCTCTGGGCTCCCCGACCCTGCAGCATCGGGGGCAGGGACAGCCACGGATGGGAACATGTGTGCATTTGGGGTTCACTATCTACAGCAGAGCACCCCTGTCCTTGTGAAGGCCCTGTCAAGGTTCCTGCAACTACAAATTCTGTCCCCGCCCAGCCTGGGGCTCGGAGCTGGTCCTGCCAGGCTCACCTTGTGGGGGCACGTCAAAGCGGACATGGCCGACATAATGAACCATGCTGTGGAACTTGCTGTCGCAGGCCTCGCAGAGGCTGAGGGGGCCTCGGCAGTGCCACTGCTGGCAGTCAGCGTGATGACACACCTGTGGGCACGGGGACGAACAGTCAGGCGAAGCTACCCAGGCTGCCCGCCGCTGCACAGTGGCTGTCCCCAGGGACGCCCAGGGAAGCAGCCCCTGCCCAGAAGGAGACTTCAAGAGCAGGAGCCCGAGGCTGCAGCCTGGCCCACCCCACTGCTCACACACAGGAAGGGCCCAAGAGGAAGTCAGGCTGCTGCTCCTTGACTTGGCCAGCTGCGCACCCGCCTGGAACGCCCTGAGCCGGGCAAGGCCCGCAGCCCTGCGCCCAGGCCCTCTGCCCTCACTCTGAACCTGCCTGGGCCTGACTGCAAGGCCCCACCCAGAGCCTGCGGCTCTACCCCGGAGTCCCGAGCTCAGTCACCTTGTCCTCTCGCTGCCAGTCGGCTCCCTACTTTCCCAGGTACACAACAGCCATCAGAAGGAGGCCCACCACTGAACGTGGTGGCACACACCCGTAATCCCAGCAGTTGGGAGGCTGAGGCAGGAAGCCTACCAGGTGAGCCCAGCCTGGGCCATTGAGAGACTTCCAGACCTCAAACTAAAAAAATAAAAAGCGGGGGGGGGGGGGGCTTCAGCTTAGTGCAAAGGCCCTGAGTTTAACCCCATTATGGAGGGGCACCCCCAAGCTTTCTTTCTTTTGGGAGGACACTGGCACTTGGAAGGCACCAACCTGCCCCCTGGCAGGAATGTCTCGATGAGGCCCCAGCAGAGCTGACAAGCGTGGGCACAGTATCCATGACACTGTCCCTGGTGGACCTCGACACCCCTGCAGGACTCCCTTCTTCTTGTCATTCATGAGGCACCAGGGCACCCTGACTTCTACTCTTCTCTGCTCAGGGGTTCCCACCCCAGGGGTCTGGAAATTCTCCCTCTTGGGCGTAGCACCCCCAGCTCATGGACCCCAAAGCCTCCGCACTGCCCTATGACCCAGCACTGGACACAGCTCGGCCTCTGGGAATAGCTTCCTCCTCGAAAACAAACATTTAAAAAATAAAACAAAAAGCTCAGCATCCAGGCAGCACCCAGGCCCTCCGAATGCCACCACTACCTGGGTCTTCTGGACTGACCAGATCCCAACGCGTATCCCAACTGTGGCATGGCCACCCCAGGCCCAACTCTTCCCTGTAGCTCCATCCCACCCAGCTGCTGGGTGTTACAGGTCGGCCCCGCCCCAGAGACATCAAGTCCTAATGCCCAGTCCTCAGCATGTCACCTTTGCAAACAAGCTTCCTGCAGGCAGCATGAGGTAGAATGTGGGCATCCCAAGTAGATGGGGGCTTGCGGGTTAGCTCAGTTGTTTAAGTGCCTGCTCATGCAAATGTAGTCAGGTGCAGGATACCTCGGTTCAAACCCCACCTCCACCTGCCTTACCAGACTTGCCTTTAAGGCAGGCTGAGCCAGGAAAAAAAAAAAAATCCTTCTCCAAGTAGATAAGCATAGAGTAGAGGATACAGACTCAGCGAAAAGGGGTGGACGGTGGGGAGGTAGGAGGGTGGTGGTCCTTACAAGAGGAAGCCCAGAGATGGGGCCACAGCAGGGACAGCCACGTGGGGACTAGAGATCGGGGCATGCGCCCACAAGCCACAGGACACCGGGGGCCACCAGAAGTGGCCGAGGCCCGGAAGGATCTCCCCCCGCAGTCTTCAGGGCAAGCACAACCCTGCTGACACCTGCATTTCAGACTTCCGAGCATCAGAACAAGGAAAATGAATCTTTCTACACTTGGGCACAATGAAATATGCTGTACTCCCAGCTACGCAGGAGGCTGAGGCAGAAGGATCACTCTGAGCCCAGGAGTTCAACGCCAGCCTAGGCAACACGCGGAGACCCTTCCTCACAGTAAAACAAAAGAAAGAAGAAGGATGTGTTGCTTGGGCCAGGGAGATACCTCGGTGGCACAGTGCCTGCCTGGCAAGCGGTAGGTCCTGAGGTCAATTCCTAGTACCAAAAAGACAAAGGGGGTGGGGTGGGCTATGGCTTAGCTCAGTTGTTTTTATTTATTTATGTGTGTGTGCGTGCGCCTGTGTGTGTGGCCAGCTCAGCCCACCAGGGGGCGGGGCGGGCTGGCATGTGGTGCTGGGGGATTGAACCGCGGTCCCTGTGCTTTGCTAAGCTTGTTCTAAGTAGGTGCTTTAGACCACTGAGCCATCTCACCAGCACCGCCCCCCCTCTTTTTTTTTTTTTAGCTCAGTTGTTTAAGCGCCTGCTCCAGCAAACCCAGTCAGGCGCAGAGGACCGAGATTTGATCCCCGGCTCCAAGTGCCTTACCAGACCCACCCTCAAGGCAGGCTGAGGAAGCAAAAACAAAAATGCTTATGGGTCAGGGAGATAGCACAGTAGAATAAGTGCTTTCCTGGGAAGCACAAGGTCCTAAATTCAATCCCCAGTACCGCAAAAAAAAAAAAAAAAAGAATGAGTATCTCAATAGGTGGTTGCAGTGGCACAAGCTGTAATCCTGGTGCTCGGGAGGCTGAGGCAGGAGGATCAACGCGAGTGCAAAGCCAGCTTGGGCTGCACAGTGAAACCCTTAGGGCAGGGGAAAACCTTTCTCTTGTTTTAAATCCAGCTATGCGCCAGGGAGCTAGCTCAGGGACTTAAGTGCCTGCCGGACAAGCACTAAGGCCTAAATTCACTCCCCGATACAAACCACACCAAACCAAACCACAGCAGCAACAACAATAAACCCAGCTATGTCAATTTGTTACAGCAACTCCTGAAAACAAATACATTAGGCCAAAATCTATGGGGTCGCCTGGACTCTTACACTCTGACAAGACAGCTGGAAAATTCCGGAAACTACCTTTGGCCTTAACAGACGGTCCGTTTTGGGCACTGAAGTTCCAGAAATCTCCAGGGAGATCAGGGGCCCAGCTCCCTTCATGGCCCAGGTCTCCAGGGCATGAAAGCAAGGAGGCTCCTCCCAGATCCAGGTGTACCCCCAAAAGCCCACCAAGTTGGCCTCTGAGGGAGGGTGCACTAAGGAGTGGAGAGCTGGGTTAAGTTTCCAGGATTTCAACCCCAGGGAGGGGACCAGCAGGCAGGTCACCAGGCATCTCCAAAGCCATGGCCCCAGACGCATAACAGAGGGTCACCCTGGCTAACAAGGCACCGGAAGACAGGCTCACACTTCTCAGGGGGCTGGGGGATGGGGCTGATGGCACAGGAAGGAAGAGGGAGGGGTGGCCCAGGCCCCAGACACCAAAGCCAGTGCACAGGGCCAGAAACAGCAATGGGAACAGGGACACCTCAGGCGGGCCCCAGCCCCTACTGTTGCATGCAGCCCCGGCAAGGGTCCCAACCCACTCAGGGAATGGACGGGGACACGTCAGGGATCTTGGGCCACAGCTGTGGGACCCCGCCAGCTTTGCCCTCTGCCTCACCTGGTCTCCACTGCCCAGTGCCCTGCAGGGCTCTGAGTCCGGGGAGAGCGGCCCAGGACCAGGCCTGGAGGCTGAGAGGTGTGCAGAGACGCCCGGCCCGGTCCCCATGGTGGCCAGAGGAAGCTGTGGTCTGTGCTGAGCCGGACAAGGCTGGGGCCTGGCTTCCTGCCATTGTGTGGCCGCGCCGCCCCGGGACTGGAGGGCAGTGACACCCTGCGAAGCCCTGACCCAGCCCAGGGATGCCCGCCCTCTCCCCTTCCCATCCTGCACACCCTTCCTGGAGGCCTGGCACACAAGGACCAGGGACAGGGACGCCCGCCCTCCACCCTCTACATCCTCATCTGCACAGCTCCTACTCAGCTGGAGAAGTCTCTGTCCCAGCAGAGTTAAGTGAGGAGAGGGTACCAGGAAAGGCCAAACCCCAGCTTGGCCTGAGATCTCTGCAGCTCCAGGCAGGTCCCCACCAGAGAGGGACACTCACAACCCCCTGGATTGGGGCACCAGGATCCCCACTGTGTGGCTGTCAGCGCTTCTGCCCTCCTTCCAGGGAGGGGGAAGACAAAGAGGACATAAAGAGATCAAATACAAGCTGAGTGTCATCGTGATGCCCATAATCCCAGCACTCAGGAGGCTGAGGCTGCGAGTTCGAGGCCAGCCTGGGCTACAAGTGAGCTCAAGGCAGCCTGAACTGTATAGTGAGACCCTGTCTCCAAAAGACAAAATAAAAAACAAAAACAATGAAGTGCACAGACAACTAAAACCCAAGCTTCTGACTCATGTCCCAGGGTGGCCACCTTTGGTGGGTGGGTGCAGTGTCCTGCGCCAGGACAGGGCCACCTGCCATGCAGCCCACAGGTCTTCGCCCCTGTAGACTCTCCATCTGGAACCCTATGCACCCTGACCTCCGTACTGCTGGCCCTGGGCCCCCACTACAACTTGCCTTCCTCAATGGGGGTCCTCAAAAAAAAAATGTCCCTTTGGCCATCTGCCCTCTAGCAGTCTTCCAGCAATTGTTCCCACTGATTCCTTAGCATTTGTCACCACTGCACCTGTCTCTTTCCTCTCTTCACTTGGCCATGTCCCTGCTAGGATGACCTTGCCAGAGGCCAGAGGCCTTGGCTGTGGCCATGTCCTCAGCCCTCAGGAGGGTCTTGCCATACCCTGGTATTCTCTGTGGAGGTGACGTCAAAGAGCGCACACCTGAGGGAGGCAAGCGGAGGTGTCAGTCAGCCTCAGGGTCTCTCCTGCCTCAGACTCTCAACCTTGGGCCTTCTGGCCACGGGCAGGTGCATTTCTTCCTTGATGCCCGCGGTCTTCTCTGCCCCCCTCCTCCTTGGTTGCCCCACAGGAGTCTACTGAGTGGTTCTTAAGTCACACCTGTCCTAGGAGCCGGAGCAGAAAATCCTACTTCTGAGACCCCAAGGGAGAGCTGGGGCGATCCAACTTGACAGAGCAGGAGAAAACAAGGTGTGGAGAGACCCTGCAACTTGGGGGAAGGCCAGCAGCACCCAGTGGGGAAGGGACGGCGTGCCAGGGACCGCTACCCTGTACCCTGGGCTTCACGTGGGCAGGGTGGGACACAGGGTCTTGAAGCCCACCCTCTTGGGACCAGGGAGAAGCCCCTGGTACAGGGTACACAAGTTGTACTGAGTGGAGACCAAGGCTGGGCCAGGCGTGGTCACCTCCTCACCGGAGGACACCTGGATGCCTCTGAGTCATACTGTCACTTGACTATGCCAACAGCCAGAAGCAAGGGCTGCTTCTGAGAGAGCCCAGGGCCAAGGAAGCACAGGGTGGAAAGCGAAAGGAGCCCAGGTCCTGCAGGGAGCAGGCACTCACAGCCCGACTTCCCCTCCTCTCTAGCAGGGAACTGGGTGCTCTCAGCAGCAGGCCCAAATGCTCTGGGGGCCACTCCCCAGCCAGCGAGCCAGCCAGCCACTGAAGGCCAGTGAGTCGGGGTGCTGGGTGGAACCAATGCCCAGAAGCCAGATGCAGAAATTGATGAATAATGGAGCCCCCAATGCAGTCCCCCAGGAAAGCGGCCTGCATCCAGAGGACCTGGGGTCTCCCTGTCCCACAGTGGGTTGGGACCTCAGCCTGCGTTGGGTGGAAAAGGTGCTCCGACCAGGACACACCACAGGTCTGGGGCAAGATCCAGGCACTGAGGTGCCATGGGTACAGCAATGTTTGGGTCAGGATCTTCTGCTCCCGAGCAGGGCTCAGCACCCCTGGGTGCCTGCTAGCCCCAAGGCCCTGCTGGCATCTCAGAAACTCAAGGGCGGATTCTTCCAGCCCGGGCAGGCCCGTCAGGGTGGGGCGGCTCTGCCAGGCAGCCAGGGCCCTGGGCTCCTCCCACTCCCTCCGGAGTCCTGAGGTGGGCCAACTATCTCGGTGGGGTTGCTGCTGCAGGGCCCACAGGATGGCCCTTTCCCCTGGGGTGGTCCCAGCCTGTTGTCCAGACCTTCAGCCTGTGACCTTCACCTCATGCCCAACCTAAGAGCCTTGACCCCAGAATTAGAACTGGGAGCCCTAACAGACTTTGCAGGAGGGTACAGAGAGGAGGACCTTGGGTCCACCCACCCCACGCTAACCTTCCCCAGCTGTGCAGAGGGCCAGGGCCACTTCTCCAGAACTCTCTGCCTGAGGACAGCTTCTGGGTCCCAATAGGTCCCTGGACACTGGTGAGGGTAGGGAAGAGAACAGGGGAGGGGCCCGAGGTAGCAAACACCCCAGGCCACCCAGCCCCCCACAGGCGGGTTACTCAGGACTCCCGGACTTGCGCTGTTGGAAAGCTGACCAGGGCACCACTGGGCTCGTCTCCCCGCCCCCACATAGCCTCTTTGGTGGCCTCCAGCATCTCCTGCTGGTGCCAAGAGGATGGTTCTGCCTGCCACCGCCTCCTGACTCACAACTACACCTCCTGCCAAATCCCTTCTGGGATCCTCTGCCTAACCAACAGCCCCCACAGGCTCCTCAGAGCTGATCTCTGGGCAGAACCCTAAGATTTCTCTAGGCTGAATCCTAAGATCACTGGGGGCAGAGGCAGCACCTGCACCTACTCTAGCCTGAATAGAGGTGGAGCCAGCGGTGGAGCCCCGCCCACTTAAGCCCCGCCCCGCCCACCAGTCCGCCCTCGACCACGCCCCCGCCTCCCACGCCAACCGTCGGCCACGCCCACTCTGGGCCCCTTCTGTTCATCCCAGACACTACTAATTCCTGTGATCTCATAGGTCGCTAATGCTGGACAGAACTCGGACGCCACCAAACCCAGCTTCCACTCCGCACCGTTCTATGTACGTCCCTGTCGGCGTGGACACAACCTGGGCTGCGAGACTCACGGACCCCACTGCTGTCTGAAGCCTCCTTGTACCTATCCTTTTTTTTTCGGAGCTGGGATTGAACTCAAACTCTTGAGCTTGCCATCTCCCTGGCCTTTTTTTTTTTCTTTCTTTCTTTTTTTTTTTTTTTTTTTTTTTTCCAGTATCAGAGATCAAATTCAGGACCTTGCACTTGCCAGGCAAGCACTGAGCTATCTCCGTGGCCCCTCCTTGTACCAATCTGAATGTAGTCTTCCTGACTCCCTGCCCAAGCCCTTGGGAGCCAAGCAGAAAAAAGTGTCCCCTCCTTCCCTCGTGACAGCCCCTGAGAACTGGGGCTCCACAAAGAGGTTCCCAAATCTGGGGTGATGTGGTCATCTGCCCCACACCAGGGGCACTGGCCGTCCTTGCAGAAGAGTGGATGAGCTCCTGGAGCCCCCATCTTTGCCCAGATGTGCAGGGCACCCTGTCCTCTCCCAGGGTCCCTGCCCCTATGTTCGCGGGCCTCAGCCCCTCCTTATAGTCCCCGATATGCCCTCCGAGTCACTCCAGCGCAGCACTTCCATAATCCCAGGCCTCCAGCCCCGACCTCCAGGTAGCCCACCCTGGTTAGCCAGGCCCTCCTGAGTGCTCAGCAGCCTGAACAAAAGCTCCACGGTGGGCCCGAAGGGAAGGGCTGGGGTCCTCCTTGCAGGTGGCCCTCCTGACTGCCACTCTTAGCATGGCTGGAGATTAAAGACAATCTCACTCGTGGTCCGGTGTGGTGGTGCACACGCTTGGAAGGCTGAGGCTGGAGGACGACTACACAGTGAGTTCAGTGCCAGCCTGAGCTAAGGAGCAAGACTGTCTCAAAATTTTAATTAATTAACTTTAAAATCTAGAGCTGTGGGCTGGGGAGAAAGCTCGGTGGTCTAAATGCCTGCCTGGCAAGCGCAAGGACCCGAGTTCAGTCCCTGGTACTGCATGCTGTGTTGGCCCCAGAACCCCAGGTGGGCCAAGTCGGCCACCAAAACCAGGCGCAATGGCACATGCCTGTAATCCGAGTACTGGGGAGGCTGAGACAAGAGGATCACTATGAGTCCGAGCTGCGTGGCAAGACCCTGTACCTGATAAATAAATAAATACATAAATACATACATACAATACATGCACACATAGTTTTTTAAAAAACAAAACTAGAGCTGGAATCAGACAATCAGACAAACCTCAGACAGGGGTGAGCGATGCCTCCCGCCAGGGTTCACTGAGGTTGTATGAGTCCTTCACACTCAACCAGCACCTAATCGTGTCCAGCCACGAGTGGCTGTTATGGACAAGGATCTTTTCTGCTCCTCTGCCTCACCAAATTACAGTGTCCTCCTCCTGATGTCACCTCTGCCTGCCACCTGTGTCCCACAGCGCCCCCTGCTGCACAGTTCTTGCTTCTGCCTGTCTGTCCCTGCTTCCAGCGGAGGCCTCCTCCTCCAGGATGTCCTCCCTGACTTTCGTCCCTCTGGCATCTGCAGGTCCACGGAGTGTCTGGGCCACCTGTCCCAAGGGATTCTACAAAGACAGAGCCCAGGGCAGGGCCTGAGCAGAGGGAGGTGTGGAGGCTGTCAAGGACCCAGGCCCATGCTCTACCCACAGGAGTGCAGCAGCACGCAGGCCGCAGGGCCCAGAAAGACTAGCACAGGGTGTCCTGGCCCCAGGGCCAGTTGGACAGGGGCCTTGGGTCTCTGCGGGCCCCTGGGAGGATGCACATTGCCTACAGCCCCTTCCACAGAAAGGCAAGGAGCCAGTATCAGAGCCCCATGCCAGGCACCA